TTTATGGATTTAGAAGCAATGTTCAAGGTTTAGGGGGAAAGGGTCTGGGATAAACAGAACATAAATTCTGGGGGATAAATTCCGGCTCCAAGGATAACAAAGGATCACCAGGTTGTAAACTACAGCCTTTTCGAGTGTTCATTGAAGACTGGGAAAAAACTTCCTTTGAAGTTCATCTTCCTTTGTCAAAAATAAGTCTACACATTTAACTTTCCCTGGCTTCTCCAGGTCTTCTCTGTGTGCACAAGGACCTCTTGTCCTCTACAAGGGTGCTTGCTGCCAAGCTTGACCACCTGAGATCAATTCCCAGAACCCACATGGTGGAAAAAGAGAACAGATTCCTCTAACCTCTACATATGTGTTATAGTACATGTACGTACACACACACACACACACACACACACACACACACACACACCACGAGAGAGAGAGAGAGAGAGAGAGAGAGAGAGAGAGAGAGAGAGAGAGAGAATAATTTAAGAAACAGCCCCACAATTACAAGTTCTTCCATGGATCAGAATACCTGTTATGAAATATGCTGGTCATAGTAGGACCTCTTAGAGCAAAGGGAAATTAGAGAACAGATTGCCCTTGGTGAACCCTTTCTTGCCATACAAGCTTTCTCACACTTGGCCCTGGGCCTTCCAGGATCTTGGGACTCTGAAGGAGAGTTACATAATCTTGCAGAGACTTCTACCAAAGGTTGCCTTCAAATCCCCTACCTCCTGGCCTCCCCTCTCCCTGGGGACTGGAAAGTAGAGCTCGTCATGTGGAAACAGCAGCTGAACTCTCCAAGATCCACGCCACGTGAGATTCGTGCCTTGTTTCCGGTTCCCTTCCATTTTATGAAGAATGGTTTTTGAGCTTGAGTCTCTTAGGCCAGGGGGAGGCTTTAATTCGCTCTCCCTAATGCCGAAGGTAGGAGGAGACCTTGCATCTTGGAATTGGTGGGGGGTGAGCAAGTGATCCTTCCAAGTCACTGAGGGAAGCAGTGCTGTCACTGGCCGTTCCCCTGAAGTCACTCACCTGCGGCTGGTGTTTTTCTGTTGGACCCTGGAGAAAGGGAGCTTTTCTTTCTTACTTTTTTTTCTAACAATTTTAAAAAAGATTTGTTTCATATGTATGAGTGTTTTGCCTGCATGTATGTGTGTGCGTGCCCAGTGCCTGCAGAAGTCAGAAGAGAACATGGGATATTTTGGAACTGGAGTTATGGATGGTTGTGAGCTACCTTTTGGTGGTGTCCTGGGGACCAAAACTGGGTCCTCTGTAAGAGCAACAAGTTCTCTCTCCCTCTCTTCGAGACAGGGTTTCTCTGTAGCTTTGAAGCGTGTCCTGGAACCCTCTTTGTAGACCAGGTTAGCCTTGAACTCACAGAGATCCACCTGCTTCTGCCTCCCTAGTGCTGGGATTAAAGGCGTGGGCCACCTCTGCCTGGCCGCCACAAGTACTGAGCTGTCTCTCCAGTAGTGTCACTATGTTTTCTACAGGAAAACTATCCCAGGACTCACAGCTGAGCAACATACCAGGAGCCTGTCCAAGCCGTGGGAGAAAATAGACTTAGAGGGTGCCAGGTCTTAGGAGAAGGGAGATGTTAGGAAAACAAAAAGGCCTGTCGAATCTGTGTTCTAACTCCCCTCACCACAGAGTGTATGTCTGAGCTCAGCCAACCAGATGCAGGCATGTGAAACAGAGTGATGCTCTCGCTGCTCCTCCTTGACTTCTGGAGACCGTGTTCATTGTAAGGAGGCGTGGTGGGCACTTGGGGGAGGAGAGGCTGAGAGGTGAGAAGGCAGGGAGGAAGCTTTGAAGACCCGACTCCAGGAGTGACATTTAGAGGCGCTTGGTAGTACTCCTGTTCCTAGGAGCTGTGGCTCACGAACAGTATGGTCATGGGTACATCTAAGCTCTGAGGGGCAGTCAGGGGAATGATGGTGGGAGAGGTTGTGTGGACTCAGCTAGGCAGGGAAGGCATCTACCAGGGCTCTGCAGGTACTCAACGCTCTGAAGGACTTGCTATGCCAGTAGGGACAAGGATTATTTTACCAGGGCATTGTGGGACTCTAAGATTCTTGATATGGGGCTAGTCAAATCAAAGAAAATGGCTCCTCAAGGCAGGCGAGGGCTAGGGGTGGAGCTTTCAGTGCAAGGCCTCAGGTGGGAGCTCCAGCATTATAAAAACTGCCACCAAAAAGAGAAAAAGAGGAAGAGGAGAGAAGAGCAGGCAATAATTGTGGTAATTTCCTTAGACTTTTTTCTTTTTAAAGATTATATACTGGGGGCTGGAGAGATGGCTCAGAGGTTAAGAGCACTGCCTGCTCTTCCAAAGGTCCTGAGTTCAATTCCCAGCAACCACATGGTGGCTCACAACCATCTGTAATGAGGTCTGGTGCCCTCTTCTGGCCTGCAGGCATACACGCAAAACAGAATATTGTTTACATAATAAATAAATAAACAAATAAATAAATAAGAAGGAGGTAACCCTTTCCTCTTTAAATACCTTTCAAGGTCTCTCGAGCTTCTGGATAGTTCTGCTTTCAGCGATGCAGTGTGTGTGTAGGAAGGCACGGTAGAGCAGGGCTTCTGTCTCTAAAGCCAGAGTGGCCACTCTGACAGGTCAGAGGGCAGGTACCTGACATTCTGGCCTCTCCAGCAGCAAATAGAAGATGACTGGAGTTGTCAGGGTTAGAGACTTGGCCCCGATGGCCTGAAGGAGCTAGCTTTTACCACCTGTCATCAACAAGCCTATGAGACAAGTTATAGTGAAAAGCAGAGGGTGGTGTATTCGATGAGGAACAAACAGATCCAGCAAACTCCCAGCCTCCCTCCACAGCCTTCTCCCAGCCTTTAGAGGAGGCAGGAGTGTGCATAAGGAAGCCATCCTACTCAAGATGTGGTCCTGCCCTCCACCATTCTTAGCTGTCTCTTCTGCAAGGCAACCTGAGAAGCTATGAGAACTGTGTGAAATCCCATCCTGAAAGAGGCCTCTAGCAGGCACCAGGCTTCAGCCTTCCCTTCCTCCCAGCACAAGGCCCCTGGGAACCTGTTTCAATCCTCAGACAGTCTGAGGGCGGGCACAAGCATCTCTTTAGCATGTCTTCCTGTCATGACATTCACAATAAGTGCCGGTAAAGGTTTGAGCCAGAATAGAAGCAGCACTGGGAGGAAGCATGTGTGTCTTGTCAGGGGACACAGGACACATAATTAGTGAGATCTCAAGTATAGAAAGTGTTCTGCACATAGCCTGGCATAGTGGCGCACGCCTTTAATCCAGCACTCGGGAGGCAGAGGCAGGAGAATCTCTGTGAGTTCGAGACCAGCCTGGTCTACAGAGCTAGTTCCAGGACAGGCTCCAAAACCATTGAGAAACCCTGTCTCGAAAAGCCAAAAAAAAAAAAAAAGTGCTCTCCAGGAGTAAATTGGGGTCATGGGACGAGGTGGGGGTTACTTTGGGCATATAAAAATAAGCCTTTTTGAGGAACTGGCTGGGTTGAGCTTGAAGTTATAACAAGGCATGGTTTCCCAATGACACTTTAAGAACAACATGCAGATCTCTATGCCCTTTCCTAGAATGAATGGGACATTCAAGGGCAAAGCCCAGGAATATGTCCTTTTTAATTTTAATTTATTCTCTCATATATTACATCCCAACCACAGTTTGCCCCCCTTCCTCTCCTCCCAGTTGCAAAACTATAGACCTTCCCCCGAGATGGTGATTTTTTTTTTTTTTCGAGACATGGTTTCTCTGTATAGCCCTGGTTGTCCTGGAACTCTCCCTGTAGACCAGACTGGCCTCGGGCTCAGAGAGATCCATCTGCCTCTGCCTCCTAAGCACTGGGATTAAAGATGTGCACCACCACCTGGCTTTCCCTGAGACTTTCATTATTAGAGATCACACCGGTGGGTTTCAACCTGTCTTCAACCTCTAGAGTCCCTAGTTTCAGAGAGCGAGCTTCCCACTGGGCAAGAGAGTCAGCCCCAGGGCCAGGAGAGGAGCAGGGGTGGAATGCTCAGACACAGGAGCAAAAAAATAGTGTGCACATCCCCTCGCCCCTCAGCTCTGGCCCGTAGGCCCCCACCACACCCAGCCCTCAGTACATACAGCGCCCACCACCACACAGCCCCCCACCAAAGCCCTTCACCATGCACAGTTCCACAGTACACACACAGCCCGGTAATCTCTCACCACACAGCCCCTCACTGCATGCAGACCCATAGCGCAGGAAGCCTCTAGTCGCCCAGCCCTTTGCCACAGACAGCTTACCCCAGTCTACACCAGCTCCAAGGCTCAGTTCCAGGGACCTCTTCTCCCTCCCTGTTTGGTTCAGCCTCAGAGGATGGCGTTGAGACCAGTTTTTTCTTTGGGAACTCTAAGCATATTTTAGGGCCCCAAACCTTAGTGCCCTGGCTTTTTCCATACCTGACTGGGACCGCTGGCCCTCGACCCCAGAAACTTGTAGGGTTTAAGCCCGCAGTCGCAGAAGTGGGCAAAACACCCCCTGGATTACAGCAGACACAGGCGGCTAGGGACCTACAAGCCTGTCTGATACCGTGAACAGCGAGGCCAGGGCAATCTGGAAACTAGTCATTACTAGTGACTGTCTCTACCCATCTTCCTACACTTCCTGTGCTCTGGGTCCCTCCCGGATCCTGCCTCTGTTTCCCCACCCGGTTCCCCTGGAGCGAGTCCCGTGGGAGGAGGTAGGGGCGGGAGAGACGCCTTGGAAAGCACCTTCCCTCTTTCCTCGCCTCCGCACTCGGTGCGCGCGTCCTTGCGGGCCAGTAGCCGGAGGCACAGCTCGGTGGTGTCACCGTGTCAGTGGAGGTGGCCGCATCCCAGGCTGGGCGCTCGCTGCAGTCCGACTCCCCGCGGCGGCGGGGTCCTCCCGGCGTCCCGGTGCTCGCGTCGGGGTCTGCGCGCCCGCCCTCCGGCTCACGCCCTTTGGAGCCGCGCGTCTGGGACTGCGGCAGCGCACGCAAGAGTACTCGGTTGGCCTCCGGGCGGCAGGAGGCAGAGGCGGCCGGAGTGAGCCGGAGGTATGGGCCAGGCGGCCTGGAAGGGGTTCGCCCAGTCGCTGTTCGACTATAAGACCGCAAAGTTCGTGGTCGCCAAGAGCAAGAAGGTGGGGCTGCTCTACCGGCTGCTGCAGCTCACCATCCTGTTGTACTTGCTCATGTGAGTTCTCGGGCACTTCTTTCAAGCCAGGGGAATGGGGAGGGGAAGGTGTAGACACACAGGGGCTTGGGGAGTTGGCCTTCATGGGCGCTTGGATGTAGGGTGGGAAGGTGAAAAGTGGACACTCTACGCCTTGTGAAACGTGGGAGGGGCAACTGGGTACCTTGGTTTGAAGCTACTTGTAGGGAGCCCCTTCTCCCAGGACTGAGCGCCCAGTGTTACAGCCATGGCCAACAGGCAGGGATGCCAGGACTCTGGGCTCAGCTGCCCCCAAGAGGCCTCCCTGGGTTCAGGCCTGACAGCTGGGCCAGGCACCCTGCAGGTTATTTATAAGCACGGAGCATCACTGACTTACTCTTGGTTGGGCCAGCTCATCAGATTGGCATGTTCTGGAACTCAGGGTTAGCTCACGGGAAACACGGGCAGCCTCTCCAGTGTCCAGCCTCTCTACTGTCCCCTTGTTGCCATCTCACCTAGCAGGATGTGGGCCCACCAGCCCAGGGGCAGCTTGTTGGGGGTTTAACAGCTAGACCTTGGTCTTCCTTGCTCCTAGGGAGCGAGGAGGTCACAGGTGAAGAGAGGCAGCCACGGAGAACAGTGGCGATTCACTCTCTTTTCCTCATTAAACCGTGTACAGTTATTGCTCCCGGGAGGGCAGTCCTGACCTAGCCTCGCTGCCTTCTAATGGCTATCCCCCCTTTTTCTTTTTAGTTTGGTTTTTTGAGATAGGATTTCTCTGTGTAGCCCTGGCTGTCCCGGAACTACTCTGTAGAGCAGACTGGCTTCAAACTCAGAGATCCACCTGCCTCTTCCTCCCAAGTGCTGAGATTAAAGGCATGGATAATAGTTGCGTTCTTAGCATTTCCTGAGATTTTAGCACCAAGGCACTTGGCAGTGTCCTATCTCAGGGCCTTTATACTGCCTCTGCTCAGCTGCCACTGTTTTTCTTTCCCTACTCGGTGGCTCCACTCCTTGTTCAGATCTGAGTGCTCCAATGACTCCTCCGTCCCTCCCTGGCATTCCCATGGCCAATCCGGATGGTCATTTACTCGGAGTCTGTTTCTCGCACCCTGCAGTCTGAGGATGCCATGATGGGAGGGACTGGTGTCACTTCACTTGGGCATAGGTATGAAAGGAATGAACGAATGCTGAATATTTGCTTACTCTTTTGGGTTGGACTGGCCTGGCATTTCTCTGCTGAAATGGAAGGCTTGCTCAAGAATCACAGCTTTCTCAGAGTTTCCTGAAAATGCGATAGCTTAGGCTCAAGGCTTCCCTAGCTCTGCCCCAGAAATGAGGAAGTGGACAGGTTGGTTGACACTTCCCTGGCTCCCTGGAGAGAGCCAGCATGCCATGCCGCTCACTGCATGAGTCAAGGGGCTGGCATCTTCCTCTTTTGATGGGTTTCCGCAGCTTCACCAAGACGGGTTAAGCTGGATGATATCGAGCTACAAGAATAAGTTGGAGAGCTCTGTGCTTGGGGCTTTGGCTCTGTTTAGGAACACTGCTTAGCATTTGACAAGGGCCATCTCATTTCTAAAGTTTATCTTTTTAGGGACTGCAGCAGCGTCTGGGTGGTTAAGAGTGTTTGCTGTTCTTTTAGAAGTTCTCTTCCTGGCTGATTGGTTTACAGCCCAGGTAACTCCAGCTCCAGAGGATCTGATCCCACTTCTGGCTTCCAAGGACTCATGAGCACACACAAGCACACACATACAATCCAGGCATATTTATCTCTTTAGACAGATGTGATGATGGGCACACGCCTGTAACACTCAAGGGGCTGACGTAAGATCGCTGTGAGTGGATGCCAGCCTGAATTATACTTTCTTCTCTGGTAGTGTCCTTTGATGTGTAAATGTTTTTAATTTGAAGAGACCACATTTTTTTTTGTTTTGATTTGGTTTTGTTGGTTATGTTTTTCATTTTTATCATAAGTTTATGTGCATCGTGTGCAGGTGCTCATGGAGGTCAGAGGGCGTCAGATCCCCAGGGACTTGAGTTAGTTGCAGGTGGTCATGTGGGTGCTGGGAACTGAACGCAGGTCCTCTGCAAGAGCAGTAGGTGCTCTTAACTCCTGGGCAATCTCTTCAGCCTTTTACTATTTTTATTACTTTATTTATTTGTTTTTGTGTGTGGACAGCGTGTGGCATGGTACACATATGGGAGTCTGTTCTCTCCTTCCACCAGGTGTGTGGGGATCAAGCTCAGAACGTCTGCCTTTATCTCCTGATCCATCTTGCTGGCCCACTTACGTTTTTAGTATAAAAAAATATGAGATTTCATTTGCTTATTTATTTACTTATTTATCTGGTTTCTCTTAACGTGTTTTTCTGTGTAACATTCCTGTTCTGGAACTAGCTCTTGTAGACCAGGATGACCCTGAGCTCACAGAGATCCACCTGCCTCTGTCTCCCAAGTGCTGGGATTAAACGGGTGTGCCACCACCGCCTGTCTCACTATTTCTAATTTGCTTGTTTTTGGTGCAAACCCAAGGCCTTATACACGCTAGGAAAACCCTGGACTAGTATATATCCCCCTTGGGTTTCTTGGGTTTCTTTATTTCTTCCCTCTACCTTTGGCATTTTTTTTTTTTCTTTTTCAAGACAGGGTTTCTCTGTGGCTTTGGAGCCTGTCCTGGAACTAGCTCTGTAGACCAGGCTGGTCTCGAACTCACAGAGATCCACCTGGGTCTGCCTCCCGAGTGCTGGGATTAAAGGCGTGCGCCGCCATCGCCCGGCTCACCTTTGGCGTTTTGTTTCATGTGTTTTTCGTTTTTTTTTTTTTTTTTTTTTGAGACAGTTTCTCTGTGTAGCCCTGGCTGTCCTGAAACTCACTCTGTAGACCAGGCTGGCCTGGAACTCAGACATCTGCCTGCCTCTGCCTCCCAAGTGCTGGAATTAAAGGTGTATGCCTCCACACTTGGCAATGTCTTCTTTTTTTAGAGTTACTAATTTTATTATTTTATGTGTATAAATGTTTTGCTTGCATGTATGTCTGTACAGCTTATGTGTTCCTGGCCCCTGTCCTTGAGGAGGTCAGCACCAGGACTGTAGTTACAGATGGTTGTGAGCCACCGAGTGGGTGCCTGGAATGGGAAAGGGATCGTCTGCAAGAGCAGCAAGTGCTTTAACCGCTAAACCAAGTCTCCAACCTCGGATTTTATTTAAAAGAGAGTGTCTGATCCTGTAGGCCAGAATGCCCTTCAACTGTCTATCTTCCTACTTTAGCATCTTGATTACAGTAACACATGCTTGTGGGACAGGTGAACCCTGAGCTCGCTCTCACTCCCATTAGCCTAGGACTTACTATGGTTCTCATTCCAGCCTGGGCCTGCGCAGCCCTGTGACTGAAGCCTACCTGTTGGTCATATGTCTACAGATGGGTGTTTCTGATAAAGAAGAGTTACCAGGATATTGACACTTCCCTGCAGAGTGCTGTGGTCACCAAAGTCAAGGGTGTGGCCTATACCAATACCACTATGCTCGGAGAACGGCTCTGGGATGTAGCCGACTTTGTCATTCCATCTCAGGTCAGATCTCTACCTGGGTCCTGGGCTAGTGAGGTGGGGCGGGTCACATAGGAAGTACCCAGGCAACTCCATCAATTGTCTCTCCTGCTCAGGAGAAACCCTGTCTAGGTCTGTTTCCCCACGCGGTCCCTGCTTCTTTTTCTGCACCAGGCAGGCTTGGCTTCTCTTGTTCTCAGTGATCTATGTGTCTGATGGGACCACATGGGACCCAGAATGACCTGGCACAGTGTCCCAAGAATAGCTCCCCAACTTGTTCATAGCTGCCCTGTGTAGATAGAACCAGGCTGAGGTCGGGACAGAATTATAGGGTGAATGTGCTTGGGGTTTGAGAAGCTGCAAGTTACCCAAGAAAAGATAGCCACTTGGAAAGTGTGGGATCACCAGACAGATGGACAGTGACCACCAGTTTTTGTGGTCCCCATTGTTCCCAACCCCATGCAGAGACCCACGACTCTTCCCCGAAAGGCCAGGAGGAAATTCCTCAAAACTCTGTCTGGCTCCTCAGGGGGAGAACGTTTTCTTCGTGGTCACCAACCTGATCGTGACTCCTAACCAGCGGCAGGGCATCTGTGCTGAGGTTTGATTTGGCATGTGTGTTGGGGAGGGTTGGAAAGCCCCCAGCTGTGGTGACAATCCTCCTGAAACAGGGGCTTGGTTTGCTCCAAGAGTGGCAAGAAGCTGTATAAATACTGAATGATACCATGTGGTTTGGGGGGAAGAGATGGGTTTTCTTAATTTTTTTAAAGATTTACATTTTCTTTCATGATTAGTGCCTGCTTGCATGTGCATGTGTGCATGTGTGTGTGCATGTGTGTGTGTGTGTGTCTGTGTGTGCACGCCACGGCATGTGCGTGGAGGTCAGAGCCGGTTATCTCCTTTCCCCATGGTTTCCAGGCACTAAACAGGCTGCCAGGCTTTCATGGTAGATGTTTTTACCCACTGAGCCACTGTGTCAGCCCGAGAAACAGATTTTCAAAGGGTCTCAGGCCAGGGAAGGAGCCCTCTTCTATCTCTGATGGGACCCAGTCCTTGGCTCCTCGCAGATCCTTGTCTTTCCTTGCAGCGTGAAGGCATTCCTGACGGCGAGTGTTCTGAGGACACTGACTGCCGTGCTGGGGAACCTGTTGTCGCTGGACATGGTGAGGGCCTGGCGTGGCTGGGGCTGGAGCAGAGCAAAGAAACCTGGACAGGAAGGTCCATGGCATTGCTCCTGTCCCTCCCCTGCAGGGCTGAAAACTGGTCGCTGTCTACGGGTGGGGAACTCTACCCAGGGTACCTGTGAGATCTTCGCTTGGTGCCCAGTGGAGACAATGTCCATGCCAACGTGAGTGGCCATGGCCTGTGGTCCCAGAGGAGTTGCCTACGCAGTCTTACACAGTGGGTCCCACCCGAGGCCAGAGGCCTACCTATTCCTTAGGTCTAGGGGAGTCATAGAGGGCAGGGGCAGGTCTCCCGCTCAGGCTACCCTGGCCTGGTTTTCAGGGATCCCCTCCTGAAGGATGCTGAAGGCTTCACCATTTTCATAAAGAACTTCATTCGCTTCCCCAAGTTCAATTTCTCCAAGTAGGTGGGACTTGGTTATTGGGTGGGGAGGTGGGCTGAGGGCTCTCCCTGGGGTGCCCTTTTCTCTGCTTGTGGTGGTCTTTGTTCTTGAGGGGAATAAGATAAATGCTGGGGAAGAAATCATGTCTGGCAAAGGGCCCATTGACTCCTGGGTCAGGCCCAGCAGCAGAACATGTCACCCTCCTGTCACGGCTTCCTCTTAGAGCCAATGTGCTAGAAACAAACAACAAAGACTTCCTGAAAACCTGCCACTTCAGCTCCAAGAACCTCTACTGTCCCATCTTCCGACTGGGGTCCATTGTCCGCTGGGCAGGGGCCGACTTCCAGGATATAGCTCTGAAGGTGTGTGGTGTGTGGTCAGGGAGCTCTCCCTGGGAACCTGGGCTCTGCAGAGAGAAGGTGAGGGTGGAGGGACATTAGGTCACTTGTCCTCAGGAGCTCACTATTTCCAGAACTGTTTGTGACAAATGGCCTGGCTTTATCAGGCACTCAGTGGGGATGGGTAGGTGGGTGGGGCTGACCTGGCACCTGCTGGGTTCTCTGACTCTAGAATATCAGCAGAAAGAGTTGAAAGGATCCCCATGGACGCACGTTGATTTGTGTGTAAAGTGTGGTCAGGCCAGTCCAGCTAGCTGACCTCCGGCCCACTTGTCTGACTCTCATAAAGGGCTGCCCTGTGACTTCTGTCCACCCACAGACAACTCTAGCATTCACCCTGTTTCTTGTATCAAGGGCGGTGTGATAGGAATCCATATCGAATGGGACTGTGACCTCGATAAAGCTGCCTCTAAATGCGACCCACGCTATTATTTCAACCGTCTGGACAACAAGCACACCAAATCCATCTCCTCTGGGTACAACTTCAGGTAACTGCTGTTTTTGTGCTACCTGGTGACCTTGACTCTCTTCTGGGTCAAGTTCACCAGTGTTCTTGCGGTCCTTGTTGGCACTGAGCATACTGGGAAAGCCTTGTCTTTTGTGTATGCCTCAGTGAGCAGGTCTGGGCACCTTCCTAGAGTTGCTCTAGGACCCTGGAATGCAGAGAATTCCTCAAGGCAGACACTTTGTGCTGCAATGGAGAAAAGGTACAGGCAGATGAGCGTCCCCTGGGCCCTGTCTCCCCAGGTTCGCCAGGTATTACCGTGACCCTAACGGGGTAGAGTTCCGTGACCTGATGAAAGCCTATGGCATCCGCTTTGATGTAATCGTCAACGGTAAGGTACGCAGATCTGCTTCCCATTCCAGTGCCTGGTGGCTGCTGGGCCAGGGAGGTTGGAGTGGCCCTGGGATCCAGCTGTCCACCCTGCCGTGCTCACCTGGCTGTTTCTGTTCCACAGGCGGGAAAATTCAGCATCATCCCTACCGTCATCAACATAGGTTCTGGGCTGGCACTCATGGGTGCTGTGAGTACCTCCCCTGCCTTGTTGGCTTCCTGGGGAAAGGGAGGTAGAGCATGCTGAGCCCATCACACAGGAGGCCTGTGAGGTTACAGGGACAAGGGTGATTTCACATGCTGCCAGCTCCCCCAGGGGACACTGACTGCCTGCAGCTCTGACTGTGAGCTTGAGTGGAGTGTGCCACAGGTCGATTGCCCTCCAGTCCAGTGCAGGCTGGAAGCTTTGGGATTCTGGGTCTAAAAATCTCCATCTCCAGTACTGGTAATGGGAAACCGATTAGGCTATGCCAATTTGAGCAGTGTTGACATTCGGGGGCAGGGGCTTCTTTGCTTTGGGGGTGTCCTGTGCAATTTGTTTAAGTGAATCCCTAATCTTCATTCACTAGTGGGACCTTCCCACAGCTGTGTTGCTCAAAAATGGTCTCCGTTTGAGAACCTGCATTTGAGAGGATGAGAGGCAGGGTAGATAGTCTTGTAATCGTTTGGGGTGGGCGTTTAGCCACCCATAGTAGGAAATGGCTAGAGTTCAGGGAAGGGCTTCCTGCAAATGCCCGTCATACCCTTGGCACGTCTGGGAAGAGGTTAAACGTGGGAGTTGTAGCAGTCCTGGTTGGGAGCTCATGCCAACACAGCCACTTCCCTGCCAAGACTGCCAGAGGCCGCTTCTCTCCCCGGCCTAGGCAGCCCAAGCAGCTACTAGAAGATTCTGTCAGGACCCAGGATAGACTTTGCATTGAGACTGGGAAGCCTGTCTTTACAAGGGACTAAGAATGATCCCTAACAATGGGCAGTGGTGGTGCACACCTTTAATCCCAGCACTCAGGAGGCAGAGGCGAGGGGATCTCTTAGTTTGAGGCCAGTCTGGTCTGCTGAGTGAGTTCTAGGATATAGCCAGGGCTACACAGAGAAACACGGTCTTGAAAAACAAAACAAAACGAAACAGTGGTCCCCAAGTGGAGTGTTTCAGATTCAAGCAGTCTTCCTTAGGGATGCCTCACTGTGTGCAGGTGTAGCACTCGTCCAATGTAGGTAAATTCTGAAGTCTGGGGACACAGCTGTGAAGTGAAGGCAAGGGTGCACTGTGTCAATGGAGGGTTCTCTGTCCCACCCTGACCCACAGCCACTTCTAAGCAATCACTCAGAGGCTTAATATTAATTACAGAATGCTTGGCCTATAGTTCAGGCTTATTCCTAACTAGCTTTTACATTTAAATTAACCCATTTCTATTGATCTATGTATTGCCACATGTCCGTGGTGCTACTGATCTGCTGGCATCTTGCTCTTTGGGCAGCCGGCTGGTGTCCCTTCGACTCTGTCCTTCTCTGCTCTTTATTTCTGTTTGGCTTTCCTCCCTAGCTGTATTCTGCCTGGCTATAGGCCAACTCAGCTTTTGTTATCTACCAACGAGAGCAACACAAACACACAGCGTACAGAAAAGTTATCCCACAGTATTATGGAAGGTGGTGGTGAAGGGTGAGGGAAGAAGTAGGAACGAAGAATTGATAAATGACATTTCTGGAGTCTAGGGAAGACAGGAAGACAGGCACGCTCTACTCAGGGCCTCCTCCTCCTTCAGTAACACCTCTAACCCTGCTCCATAGGTAGAGTCGCCCTCTGCTGGAGCAGAATGGCATTACATACAACGTGCTCTGATCTGTGTTCAGGGGTGATTAGTCCATCACAACTGGGTTTGCTTATTCCTGTCTTTTACTGACCACAGCTGTAATGTCCCTGTTATCAAGGCTAAGATGCCTGCCGGTCCATCTTGTTTTTTTTTTTTTTCGAGACAGGGTTTCTCTGTGGTTTTGGAGCCTGTCCTGGAACTAGCTCTTGTAGACCAGGCTGGTCTCGAACAAAACAGAGATCCGCCTGCCTCTGCCTCCCGAGTGCTGGGATTAAAGGCGTGCGCCACCACCACCCGGCCCTGCCGGTCCATCTTACACCGGCTATCAGGGCTCTTTTCAAATGAGCACAACTGCCACCCTCATGCCTCCCCGCAAAGGACCAGGACCAATGTCTCCAAAGCATTCTCAGATACTCTGGTTCTCACCCCCACCGGAAGCACCTTTTGCTCTTCCCCCACAGGCCCTGAGCATTTCCTGGTGATGACAAGCCTGCTTCTCCCTTTGCAATGCAATTCCAGGCCTCTAGTTCAGCGACCCAGGCTGAGTGAACGCTGCTTTTTCACCTGCTCCCAATCCTGTTCCCATTATAAAACTGATGACTCTATATCATAATCCGCTTGTCTCCTGCAGCACAGGGAGTCCCTAGGTCTCTGTGGTCCTTATCTTCCTGGCACCCCAGTGCAAATCTGGCCGGTGATAGATTCTTAGCAGATATGTGTTGAAGTTAGATCTGGTCAGGGCAGTAAGGTGCGCTTGGGCCATGGAATCAGGAGGCACGCCCAGATCTCACCTGTGTCTACCATGGAGCGGCTTTGTGCCCCTGGACATCACCCCTTTCTGGGATGGTTCTTTTCTTTTCTTTTTTTTTTTCAAGACAGGGTTTCTCTGTAGCTTTGGAGTCTGTTTTGGAACTAACTCTTGTAGACCAGGCTGGCCTCGAACTCACAAAGATCTGCCTGTCTCTGCCTCCTAAGTGCTGGGATTAAAGGCGTGCGCCACCACTGCCGGCCTGGGATGTTTCTTTATGTTCAGGTGGTATCCTGCTGCTGAGTTGTTGCAGGCTCCAAGATTATGAAGCTAGGATTCTGAGTCAAAGCTTGGAACTCTTTTGCAGGGGGCTTTCTTCTGCGACCTGGTGCTTATCTACCTCATCAGAAAGAGCGAGTTTTACCGAGACAAGAAGTTTGAGAAAGTGAAGTAAGCTAACCTTTATCCCCCAGTTCCAAGGAGCACCCCAGCCCCTGCCTGGAGCCTCATCTGGCTGGTCCTGGGTTGGGGTGTATAGGTGCCATGGTATGTGTACCAGCTTCAGAAGACCGGACTTGATTCATAAGGCCTGGGGAAGATGTCTGCAGGTCTCATGGCAGAAGATAAATTTACAGGATCTATCTTACTGGGTGATTTTAGACAAGCTCCATGACTCCTTGAGCCTCGGTTTCCCCATCTGTGAGATGGGAACACTGGCTTATACAAAAGGACTTGGTCCAGGACAGACGGAGGAAGATATGTGTGCATGTGTGTATGTGCACTTAGTGTTGGAACACAGAACACAGCATGGGAGGGTGCTGGGTCTGGGATGACAGGAAGGGAAAGGGGTCCTGGCCTTGCCCTTGGAGAAGGCATTTAGGAAGAACTGGGACCAGAATGAGGAATTGGGTCAGGCAGCATGTGCTTCCTCAGCCCCAGCAACCTGGACTGTGGGTGCTGCGCGGACCTGTGTGATTTGTTTGGGTTGCTCAGATGCAGCCTGAACGAACCCAGCTGGTACGGGTCCACCTGGCTACAGGCTGCTCTGCTGGAGGAAAGAGTGGCCCAGCTGGGTGTGCAATTCTCTGTCAGTGCTCTAAGAAGGTGGCGGCCATGTCTTACCCAGGGGTCAGGAGGAGGAAGCCAGTGTGGAGCTTGAAGCCAATGAGATTGAACAGGAACTGCCAGAGGACAAGCCACCAGAAGGGGGTCAGCAGGATGAGCATCCCCAAGAGCTGGTCCAGAATAGCAGAAAGCATAATAGCAACTGCCAGGAGCTCTTTGAGCCTGCCAGGTGAGGGACTGTGGGACAGCTGGCTGGGGACTGGCTTCTGTAGAGGGGCTACTTGGGATTGGCTGGCTTCAGAGGGTGTTCCCGGGCATAGGATGGACTTTCTCTCAGCCCCCAGTTTCAACCTTACTAAGGTTGGGGTAGCCTTCTCCTTCTGTTGGGAGCTAGGTCAGGGCAGGGTGAGAAATTCCCTGGGATGGAGCTGGTAAGGAGAGAAAGGTGGAAGCTGAGGGCTGCAGCAGGGGGACTAGACTGAGAGACCCTAAGTCTAGCAGCTCTCTGAGCTGTCACTAGCTGCTCACCCACCTAAGCCCCTTACCTGCAGGTCCACCTTGCTTGTCTAGCACAGCCTCCTATTGCTGTGGGAGATCCCGTGCTTTCCAGCCCTCAGCGTGAACATCGTCAAGCATCTGAGCTGCAGCGAGGACAGTGGTTCTTTCTCTTGGGCTGTGCCTGCCTGCTCACTGCCAGAGAGAGAGGCTGCGACCGCCTGCCTGCCGTGTACGCTGCCTCAGAAAGGCCGTGCTGCAGAGTTCCTGCCGGCCCTCTCTCTGCCTTCGGCGCGCACCCCTCCTCCAAGGCCTGGCCTCCAGGAGAAAGCCATCTTGAATGTGAAGCAGCCACAGCTCTTGCAAACAGTGAAGACGTAGCCAGGACTCTTGGCAGAGAACACATTCAAAGATGATGGGGCCAGGACAGACCACAGCTCTGAACTGGGAAGAGGCATCTTGGTGCCTGCTCAGGAAGGGGCTTCTGGGAACAGGCTTCTCAACTCCAGGGTTTTTGGTTGTGTGGAGGGGAGCCTCCTGTTGGCTCAGATGCAGACAGGAGGCCCTGGGGCAGGTCCCCAGGAAAGGGGCAGGCCAGGGGCTTCAGTGGTAGAATGTTTACATGCCCATCTCTGAACCCAGAGGGACAGTCATTTATTCATTCAGGCAGCACACATCTACGGGTGCATGCTGTACTTTATTCCTGTTTGAGAGGCTTAAACGAGATGCTGACCAGGCCCCAGGGCTCACATGGAACTCTCTCCAGAGACTTCAGCCAGCCCAGACAGCCTGGCCTTCCTCCAGCCTCTAGCCAAGGCTCCCGACAAGTCTCAGCAGAGAATGATGGCTGCTCAGAAAAGCTGTTGGATGACATCCAGGGGACATTTAGCTCCACCCCCGAGTGTAAAATTTAAGGGTGGCCGAGGAGGCATCTGGGAAAAACTTAAGGGAAGAACAAACTCCAGGGGCTCCTGGGTGAGATTCCGGCTTAGAAGGCAGGCGAGCCACTAGCCGTTCTAGCCCCCACCCGTAACTAGGGTAGCTCTGGGAAATCAGCTTGCCCAGGTGAGAGATGGACTTGCCTGTGCAGTTTAGCTCTGGCTGTTTTTTTTTTTTTTTTGAGGGGGAGGGCTGGGGTCATTCCTGGAAGTCCCCGATTGATTTCTTGCTCTCAGAAGCTCAGCCTTGAAGTGCTAAAGAGATAAATGAGGACTTTCTGAAAGGTTGTCCCTGATCCGTGTGTCCTGTTCCGTCCCCACTGCATTTCATTCTATGGAGCTCAAAGTGCGGTCCATGGACCAGCACCCACTCTGCAGAGAGCCTGACAAAAATGCATCTCCGGAAAGCATCTCCACCATAAGCCAGAGACAGTAAATATCCTTCCACTGGGCCCATGCAGGGGGTAATCAGCAGGGGTCTGATAGCTGAGTGAGGTGCTGTAGGCCTGCAGACCCAGCACATGGGGGTGGGTCACCTGAGCTCAGAATTTCAGTGTGGGCAATAGATAGTGATGTCTCCTCCTAAAAAGGGTGGAGGGCTGAAGGATGGCTCTTTCAGAAAACCCGGGTTCAATTTCCAGCACTCATATAAGGGCTCACAATCTCCTGTAATTCTCCTGGTGCACAGACATACATGCAAACAAAATATCTATATATATGAAGTAAAATAAATTAAAAAATTGTTTTTAGCCTGGTGTAGTGGAGCATGCCTGTAATCCTAGCACTGGAGAGGCAGAGCAGGCAGATCTCTGAGTTGAGGCCAGCCTGGTCTACAGAGTGAGTTCCAGGGCAGCCAGGGCTATGGAGACAGGCTGTCTGGAAAAACCAAAAATAAGTAAAAAGAAAAAAAAAATGGGGTGGAGGGGAGTTGTTGCTACTGGGGCAGAAGGGAGCCGTGCCCAGAGCAGGACCTCTTCAAAGGGAAGCAGCTCCGGCACCTTTGGCTGTCTGGGGATGTCACCAACCCATGCTGCTTCCCGAAGGTGAAAGCCTGGGCGATCCACTTCAGCAGCTTACTTCCTTGTTAAAGCAAACCCAGCATGTCATTTTTATGTTCAGGAGCAAACAAGAGGGTCAAAGGTCATGACTGTGCAGCTTGGCCTGGCTCTTCTTCCTACTGCTTTGAAATGGCCTGGGGACAGATAACTCACTTTCTATCAGAATGAAAATGCCTTTTACTAGTTCTTGTCGGTAAGTACTGAGCTCATGTGTCCTGTTCTTGTCAGGCGTCGGACTAAACCCTGACACTGGTGAGCAACATACACGGCCACTGCCCCCACATGCTTCCCGATGGTGGGTGCTCAATCTTAACCATAACGTGGTCACACTTGTCAAGAGTTAAATAGGGAACGTTTTAACCTGGAGCAGCCTGAGTAGTGTACTCAAGGGAGTGACAGTTTAAATCCGAAAGGTTAGGAGCCACCTGTCATGTGACAGGGAAGAAAGGGAATCCCAGGTGCTTTGATGTGGAAAACAACCCGAAAGGTTGTCACTGCTGTGGTCGTTGTGAAGTGTTCTTTTAACCTGTTGGTCTCCATTACACTCCACTGCCTGACAAATCTGTTGTTAACCTGTTCCTTCTGGGCTAACAAACTTAGCTAGGTCGACCCTTGGATCGTTTTAGGAGGCTCAAACTTAGAAAGACCAGGGATCTTATTAAAACTTCGCATAGGGATGCCCACTCTGCCAAAGCTGCCTTGTGCCCCTTTCCCCTAGCTTCTTGCCTTCTGCATAACCTTGATATAATACAGCTCATCCATCTATGGAAGCCAGCTGCCTAAATTAAAAACAAAAACTAACCAACCAAAACCTCCCAGGGTCTTCCTCTGTAGGACTTGCCTCAAACTCATGATCCTCCTGTTACAGCCTCCACAGGTGGAATGAGGCTTCTAACTCGGGAAGTGAGTCAGGAACTTAACTCCCAACCTTTGGGGAAACACTTTTTCTTTCTGGGCACTGCTTGGATTAGTGGCTACAGCCATTGCCCACGAGTCTGCTTTTGTTCTCATCTTCTAGGATCTGATGAATTGTGTGTCAGTCCCTAGCCCAAACTGGGCCATCTAGGATTGTCCTGAAAGTTATTTCATACCCTTTGGGAGCACCATGATGTGGGCCAGCTGTTATACTGGGTGCTATCAATGTGACATGGGTCAGTCATGAAATCACAAGCTGCTGTGCTAGGGTCATAGCTGCCTTTTATCCTCCATCAGTTGTTCCTCTCAGTGGGGGAGGCCATCATAAAGGTGGAACATGCCTTGTTCCAGGTGCTTGAGCTGGGGACCACAGTCCCTAATCACAGCCATCTTTGGGATCTGAACAGGGATCCCCTTAGTCTTACCCACACCCTCCCAAGGGACAAGCTCTCTTCAGAGGGTGGCTCTTCCTTTCAACGAGGATAAAAAGTCAAATGGGTCAAGGTGGCAGGCATTTTTTGGGACCTCTATGACATGTATTTTTGGACACTTCTAAAATAAAAGGCATCAATTTTAAATGTGTCCCTCTTTTTTTCCCCCCTTCATGGTTATCCCATGTAGGGGAAAAGATGTAAGATTAGACAAAAAGAGGCAGACACAAGTAATAATAACAAATGTATTACATTCCTTGTTATCATGCATGCAAAGAGATTCAAATCAAAGCATGGGAATAATTTTTCAAATTACATTTATTTGTGTGTGTGTAGGTGTGCATGCACCTCAGTGTGCTTGTGAAGGTCAGAGTCTGTCCTGAAGCCTGACCTCAGGTCGTCGGGCCTGGCAGCAGACACCTTATCTGCTGAGCCATCTTGCCGGCCCCAAGAAGACTCTTGAACAGATGCCAAAAGACAAGGAAGGAGATGGCTCAGCGGCTAAGAGCACTTGCTGCATCTGCACTCATGAGCACATACCCACTAACATGCAGACAAATATACCTAGATTAAGAATAAAAATTTATAAAAGACTAGGAAGACTGATAAAACTAGTACTTCTCATTGGATAAATGCTGGGAAATATTTGAAATCAACTTTCCCTTTGCCCCATGAGTATTAAATCTTCTCAAAATGAATAGGAAATGTATTTCAGTTTTAAACATTTGCAATACATTTACTGCTCAATAACAGGAAAATCACTAAATCAAGTAGGAATCCATCAGGAATGAGCTGAGCCCTTCCTTCCCAGAGACGCTGCTGCTCTACAAACATGCACGTCAGGATCTTCAGAAGAGGGCTCTTTGGGATAGGAAGGTAAAACTGTGACCTCAGCTTCTTGGCATGAGATGCAAGCATGTGGTCCAGAACCCAAACCAGGATTCAGGGCTGTGTGCCTGGGGCATTACAGAGTGAACACAGACCATCTACAGTCTGGGAAAGAGGTTTTGAATTCAATCTTTCATATCCTTTTCTTAAAACTAAAAGCCAATTCAAATTCCTAAAATTTCCGAACTTCCCCTAGATGCTCATGGCATCAAGGCCGACTTCTATGATCTGGTCAGGACTACCTCACGGTCTAATAAAAGGCCACATCCTTCCTGCCTCGCGGCTCTGCTACATGCTCTTTTCAAAGCAGCCCTTTCCCTTATTTTATTCAGCTGCTGTTTACCCGTTCAGACACATTATTTCTTCAAGTCTTCCTTGACTCCATTTCCAAGCCTAACTAGACGTAGTGCTTCTGGGTATTCTTTCATGGCATCTTTTATAGTCTGTAAAACCGGATACTGTCAATCTCCCCAGTTAAGACTATAAATTCCATGTGCAACATGCTCATTACAAGTCTAACACAATTATATTTTTTTTTCAGTGAAACATGTATTTCATTCTAAAATTTTCCTTCAAAAGGAAGGGTTACGAATGAACATATACTCAGAGGCATTACATTTGCAACAGATTCATTTGATTACATGTCCAAATAACCTATTTAATTGCCGTAGGACACATTTTAGAAAAAATAGCTTGCATTTTTTTCTGATAGGAAAGATAACTAGCCACAACCAGGTAACTGAACTTAACTGATTTCATTTCATACCCGAAAGCAGTGGTTAGTGGGAAGAGATGCTAGAACGGTACTTTCACCCAATATGGTACAAGCAAACAGACTTGTAACTGGATTCTGGCTCTGCCTCTTCCTAGATGAGCCACCACAGGCAGAGACATCTAACCTCTCTGAGTCTCAGGTTCTGCATCAACAGGAATTTAACAGCAACATCTCCACAGAGTTATTGCTAGGATTAAAACATAACCCGTGCAGGAAGTACACAGTATAATGCCCGCACAGAGAGAACGCTTAATAACACGAACTGCCAACAGTCTTTAAGACGTTAACGTTATGTTCTCTCCTGTAAGCCCTAGAGGTCCCTCTGGATCTACTAGGTGCAAATCCAAGAAAATTACAGGCTATGGCCTAGTGCCTGCTCTCCAGGGAGCAAATCTTGGCGACTTCAAAGCCTGGCTAAACATCAAGGCAGGAAAGAACTCGACGACAAGATGTCACACTTCATTTAATCTGAAGAATATTACAGGCTGTCTTCAGATATAAATTATAACAGTACAGAACAAGCAGCGAATTCAAACAATTTAAAAACTAAATAAGTCTACACGGTGTTAATTGCTGGCAAGAGTCCTGCCAATCTTCCTTTTTTTTAAGTCACCCCTGCCTTCATTTCAGTAGACGTGCACCATGCCATAGAGGAAGGTCCAGAAGAGGACGTAGGTGAAGAGGCCTCCAATGAGGCCTCCTGTAAAGAGAGGTCTTCTTGACTTAAAATACTTGTTCCACCGCCTTCCCGCTTTGAGAATCAGGAGCAGAGAGAGCAGGACGGACGCGAGCAGGTAGAAGATGAAGCCGTAGAGGCCGGTGAGGCCGAGGATGCCGGCTGTGGCCCCCGACAGCGCTGACACTGAGGTCCGGCAGTAATCGAGGACCGCGGCGTTGCCTCGCACGGCTGCCTCGCTGATGAACGGCGGCCCTTCCCGTTTGGCCACCACCGCGGCCATCGCACCCGCCGGGGCTCGGCTTCTGCCTTCTCGCGGACTCAACGCGGAACTGCGGAGAAAACCAAGTTACAAGTGGCGCCCGAGGGCCGGCGAGTTGGGCGCACGGCGCCTTCTTCCCCTGGGAGCTCCGACACCGCGCCTAGGCCTCTGACCTCCACGGGACGCCGAGGCTGAGGCTCGAGCAGGCCGGGGACGGCGGCACATCCGCACACGCCCGAAAGGCTCGCCGAGTTACCTGGAACACAGCGGCACACAGTCCCTCGTGTTCCCTCACACAGGAAACTACGGAGAGCCACGCGCCGCCATCTTGCGCCGGAGGCTGCTGGGAGGGCTCAGGTTGCGCATGCGCACTAACTCCGCCCCGCCCTCCCACGCTTGCGCCTGGGACTCGCTCCCCCTCCCGCCCCACTTCTGCACCCAAGTCCCGGGACTCCTGAAAGCCGAGCAGCGCTCCAGCTGGTGATTGGCTGGAGACTCATTAAGTATTCATGAGGGGGCGGGCCGAGCAGGGCTGCCCTTTGTTAACCAGGGAGGGCGCGGCCGTGGGCATTCTCGCTGCGGGTCTCACCGGGCGCTGTCGGCATCTCACGTTTGAGTCGAAATGTCCTACGTCCCGGGCCAGCCTGTCACCGCCGTAGTGGTGAGTGCGCTCGCGCGGGCTCCTTCTCCTCTTGGCTCACCCCATTTTGCAGAGCGGCAAAACTGACATCTAGACAGGCGGAGAAGGCTTAGGACCCGGGGCTCATTCGTGCATTCCGGTGGCCAGAGTTCCAGTTGCTGTTTCTGTTTAACAGTGCTGCAGCCTTCCCTGGCCAGGAGAGGTGGCTGGGACCTAAGAACCGCTCGAGACCCAGAGCAGAGGTCAGATCCCGGGCATTGCCGCCGCAGGGCGAATACCTTTTGGCAGGCGCCGACCGGGAGTACGGAGGAGAAAGGCTGGTCCGTGGGAGTGTTAGAAAACTCCCCTGCCCTGGGCCTCCGTGTTCCCAGCTGGGCGGCCGCGGGGGGCGGGCGCCGACGTCCGAGAGTGAGTGAGTCGCAGCCTTTGGAATGAGGAAGCGTTTCCTCTGCTCCAGCCGGCTCTGTGCCGCCGTTGCCTAGCCGTAGGAGATTTAGGGGGTGGGACTGGCCAGAGTTTGCCCTAACAGCCCCTTCCCCCCTTCTCATCCGGTCTTGCTCTGGGGACCGACCCCCTCGATAGCTAAACTTGGTTTTCTGAACTTTACAGGATACTCAGCCCCTTGGTTCAAAGTGCGTGTTCCTGTGTGTGTGATACTTGACTTTGTAGACTTTGTAGACCTTTCTTTCCAGGGTCGCCTTTTCTGGGTTTGTTTTGAACACCAGTTGCGTTTGACTAGGCAAAGGGAAGAAGGGGTAGGGGTGTAGATCTAAACACCAAGGTCCCTGTCTGAGGGAGTCTGCAGTCCAGCCCTGAGGCAGAGGTGGGTATGCTGAACCTCCTCGGAGCTCCAGCGCCCAGCCTCACTTTTAGGCCCTCGCTGGCCTTGAACTTCTGGCAGCACTCCCTCTTTAGCCTTCCAGGTGTTGGAGTCACAGGTGTGAGTCAGTATGCTCCGGAGCTGTAGGGCTGGGACGGGGCCGTGTTAGACGGGTGTGCTGGAGAGCGCCCAAAGTCAAGAGGGTGGGGGCAATGAACCACTGATGAAGGTGGCATGAGTGGGTGAGCTTAGAGCCCCAGCTCAGGCCTGGCTAGAAGGAAACACTGCTGGGCCAGTGGACAGCTTCCTGGTTTTCACACCACTTCTAGGATCTCTCTCTAGCTGCTCCAGAAAGGTGTCCAGGCTTGACTCACCTGGAAAAGATAGGGTGCAGGTGAGAGCCTAGGGAGAGCCACTCTGCTGCCCGAGTTTTCCCGTGTAAGTCAGTCACAGGGCCTTGTCGCCTTTTGGACCTTGCTGGTGACCGTGCATGAGAATAGGTCTGGAGCAGCTTACACTTTTGGGCAGGAAGCCCCAGGTGAATGGGCCTTAGGCATCGTGTTTCTTCTTCCTCTTCCTCTCGGCAGGCCAGTCAGGTCTTTAAGCTGTAAGGCCACAGTCCTGTCCTAGTGCCAGGTGCATGCCTGAGCGTAAGCAGGCAGATCTGGCCTCTGTCCCTAGTCTTGATTGCTCACGGGGTGGAGATGCTTTCCTCCAGTCTTGCCCTCTCACGTGTAGTTCACATCCTGATTCTGTTACAGTCATTTTGTTCCCTCCCCTGAACTCTGGCCCCAAGTGATGTCAGCAGGTGGCTCCTGACACTCCCAACTACACTGCACTCTACCTGGGTCCCCTACTGAGTAATGGTTACGTTCATCTCAACTGCTTCTCAACCTTCCTCATGCTGCAGCCCTTTAATACAGTTCCTCATGATGTGGTGACCCCAACCATAAAATTGTTTTCCTTGCTATTTCCTAATTGTGATCTTGCTCCTGTTATGAATTGTAATGTAAATACCTGTGTTTTCTGATGATCTTAGGTGACTGTGAAATCGTTGTTGGCCCCACAGGGGTCATGACCCACAGGTTGAGAGCCACTGATTTAGATGGCTGGATGGTCAGTCCTTGTCTGTGGATCGTCACGTCTAAGTAGCTCATGCCTTCAGGCCTCTGTACCCTACCCATTCCAGTGATCATTGTAGCATCAATGCCTTGCCCTATCTCCTTTCTGAACTCCAGTAGGTTCAAGATCAAGGTCAGGTGGTGCACTATCATTTCTTAAGGCTGGGTGCAAATGAGCCTTCCTTTGTTGAAGTCTTCTCAAGTCTAGAAAGTTATGCCTACTTCTTTTTTTGTTTTGGTGTTCGGTGTTTTTGAGACAGGGTTTCTCTGTAGCTTTGGAGCCTGTCCTAGACCTAGCTCTTGTAGATCTTGCTGGCCTCAGACTCACAGAGATCTCCCTGCCTCTGCCTCCTGAGTGACCCCTTCAACTTTGGAGGTAACCTCTGGTAGCTGAAGGATGCTTTCTGAGGGCTCTCAAAGGAGCCCACACAGTTAGAGACCCCCAACCCCAGAGCATGCTGAGAAGCCTTAGAATACTGTCCCTTACACTGAAGAACAGGACCTAAGGTTTGGGGAGATGATATGACCAGGGCTACACCCCACAGTCATCCTTCATCCCATCTCACCTCCTGGTCCTGTGTCCTGCGCTGTGAACACCAGACTCATTGTCCAGGGAGCTCTTCTCGTCTCTTCTGTGCAAGTTTCTTCCCTACTTCTCCCATGCACCTCCTGGCTTTCACAGTCTCTGTAGGGATTGCTCAGCAATCAGCCAATCTGAGTTACAGCAGGCACCTGTATTCTCAGGGTTATCTTTCCTGTTCTGGATGGTCCTCTCCCCAGAAATATGGGTGTCTTCCCTATAGCTGTCACAGTACCCCATTTCTTAGACCAGGATGGGTCCATAATACATTATTGAATAAGGATGGAAAATGGGTAGGGAAAGTTGCAGGCAAAGGGCTGTATGTAGGGGTTAGACCCAACCACCAACCTCCCAGATAGGTGACCAGCTGGATTTCTGCAAAGGGCCCTAAACCCTAACCCCTTGGCATAGTTCTAAGCTGACCAGCAGCCTGAGGTTGCTGTTGGGCGCAGAGATCAGATCTTTCTCCACCCACCTACCCTTTACCCTCAACAACTTGCTTTTTCTTTTACCAGCAAAGAGTTGAAATTCATAAGTTGCGTCAAGGTGAGAACTTAATCCTGGGCTTCAGTATTGGAGGTGGGATCGACCAGGACCCTTCCCAGAATCCCTTCTCAGAAGATAAAACAGACAAGGTGAGAGACTAGGGTCCCAGAAGCCTGAGGTGGCAGATTTTTCTTCCTGAGCCTGTGTGGAAAGAACAGACTGTTTTTTCTTAGTCAGTCCTAAATGATATGGTGGGATTAAGTAGAAGGCATGCTGAGACACCTGGAGGAGCAGGAGGTGGCCATCAGCAGGCTTGATCATCCCAGGGGCAGCTACACTGGCCACCTGGCTGTCATGGCACAGTCCATGTCAGCTGAATGTATTGGTGGGAAAGGTGGGCATGGGGACAGAGGAATTTCTGGGCTCCATGGGTAAAGGGCCAATCCACTGACCACAGGGCTTTACCTGAGTTGCTTCTTTGCAGGGCATTTACGTCACACGAGTGTCTGAGGGAGGCCCTGCTGAAATTGCTGGGCTGCAGATTGGAGACAAGATCATGCAGGTACAGTTGTCCCAAAGGAGGAAAACAAGGTTTGGGGGTGAGGGGCTGAAGCACTTGGGGTTGAGGGCTAACCTAGCTTCCCAGAGGAGCAACTCATTGAGATGGGTTTCTGAAGCCATGCTGTTATTGCCCCTAAAGAAGCTGGTTGCTCTGTGTACCACTATGTAATGAGATATTAGCTTGTGGGCCGGCCTGAGTAGCTTGGGACCCTCAAAACCCTGCTTTCAGATTCTACAGCAGTGGTTCTCAACCTTCCCAATGCTGTGACTCTTTAATACAGTTCCCCATGTTGTAGTGACCCCCAACCATACAATTATTTTTGTTGCTACTTCATAACTTTAATTTTGCTGTTATGAATCATGATATACATATGTGATATGCATGGGGTTGCGACCTACATCCTGAGAACCACTGCTCTAGAGGGTGAAGAGCTGAGGTAGCCTGTGTTCTCTCCTTGGGCCAGGTGAACGGCTGGGACATGACCATGGTCACTCATGACCAGGCTCGGAAGCGGCTCACCAAACGCTCGGAGGAGGTGGTGCGGCTGCTGGTGACGCGACAGTCTCTGCAGAAGGCGGTACAGCAGTCCATGCTGTCTTAGCACTCAGTTGGTTTTGACCTGTACCCATCAACCTTTTTGTAGTGACAACACATCCATGCTCTGTATCTCGTTCTGGCTTCTGCTGTGTGCTGGGCCCCAGCTCTGAGGGGTAACAGCTGATCCCAAGGTCCAAACCAACCTTCCTACTCCTCAACCCCAGTCTGAGGCCATGGGACCAGCTCTCTGTCTTGGAGGCTGAGGATTGGAAATGAGGGCTTGGAGTAGTATCCAGTCTAAAGTGACCATAGGCTGAGCCTGAGACCTACTACTTGGCCACAGCAGGGGCTGGGCAGTCAGGAAACACCTTCTGAGAGCTGCCAAAGCTTGGAAATGCCAGGCAGGGCCATGTTTCCCCATTTTCTCTGGCTGAAGGGCTTGGCCCTGTCCTTCCTCAGTGCCTCTTTCCATGCTTCCCCAGTCATGGGGCCCAGCCTGGAGCTGGACCCAAATATGCCAGAGACTGTATGAAGGCCACCTAGATGGAAGAGGGCAGGCTCCCACTACCTTCACTTCCCTAGCAGGTGCTGGCCTCTCCAGGATCTGCCTGCTTAAACAATTTATACAAGTTTCAAGACTGACATTTCAGGGCAGCTCTCAGGATTGCCATTTTCTTTTCTCTACACCTGTGGGTTTAGCTTTTATATTTTTTAAAGTGACGACTTTGATACAAAGTGTTTTTATCTTACTGTTTGGAAAAGCCAATTCAATTCTCCTTTTGGGTTTAGCTTACTAATTCACACACCTGGAAGCAGCAACTTGTAGCATGTGACTAAGCCAGTTGGTTACTATGGAAATGAGGCAGTACAATGCTACCCCATGCTCAACGTTTGTGCCCAATAAACAATGCTGCAAGTTTCCTAGGGGTTTCTGCTGAGACGGTGGGCAGGACTCTTGGAGGGTGGAATGAAACAAGCGCTTTGGTTTTAAGGATGGCTAGCCTGTCCCTTGCTGTTCTGAGAAAAGCACAACTCCTCCTAGGCCTACTTTCCTGGGAAACATATTTCTGGTGGTATCATAGAAGCCTCACTGGGAACACGCTGTGGTGTGCAGAGACCACATTTGTGGAAATGCCTGGGAAGCACTTTCATGGCATTTGTGGGAAGTCTTCAGTGTATTTTCTCAGAGGTGTCACTATGAAACCCTCATCTGCCTCTTGTGCAGCCTACCTTCAGTTCCCACTCGAGAGGGAACTCGGGTTTATGGGAAAACTCAGATTTATTTATTTATTTATTATTTATTATGTATACAATATTCTGTCTGTGTGTCTGCCTGCAGGCCCTAAGAGGGCATCAGATCTCATTTCAGATGGTTGTGAGCCACTATGTGGTTGCTGGGAATTGAACTCAGGACCTTATGAATAGCAGGCAATGCTCTTAAACGCTGAGCCATCTCTCCAGCCCAAAACCCCAGATATTTGCAGGAGCAAGCTGACTAGATGGCGAGCTGGGAACTCTAGGCAGATGCCACTTAGGGGCTTGCCTATCCCTGCCAATCAGAAAGTGTTTCGGAAAGCTCAGAAGGCTGGAGGTGTAGCTCAGCAATGGAGCGCCTGTCTGACATGCTCAGAGTCCTGGGTTTACAGTCATAGCACTCCTAAAGAAAAAGTCCAGCATTTAAAATCTCTCTTCAAAGTGTAGCACCCAATAACACTTCTTTTTTTTTCTTTTTCTGGTACTGTTGAACCCAGGGTCTCAAGCCTGTACACTAGGCAGGCCTTCTGCCAGTGAGCTACATCCCTCCCTTACCCTGAGACAGTCTTCTTGCTGTGTTCAAGCTGACCATGACCTTGTGTTCTTCTTGCCTTAGCCTCCTATAGGTGAGCTATGGGCTTGACCAGGCTGCAATTCTGATTCTAGGAAGTAGGACTTTAGAGATGGTTCAGCCTACAGAGTAAGATCTTCACCACCCCTGCTTTGTGCCCCACCCTCAACCCGGCAACCCCTGCTGACATCCACAGCCTGACGTCCCATGCTGATGGGACCTTGGTTCTGGTAGATAAGTCACTGTGAAACAAACCTACCTGACTCTGGTTGGGCAGGCATTTTGAACCCGAGAGGGCTTCCCCGATCCAGTATCAACATGCAGCCACCTCAAGCCAGTGCACTCCACAACCCTATGCATTTCTTCACACAGGTAAGCAGGGTCCTCCAAGCCCCAAGGACTTGGTTCCAAAGGTCAACATAACTGCCTTCTGCATCTAGTAAATGTTCTGAGTGTACAGACAGTAAACAAGCCACCTTTTAATTAAGGACATATACTCCTCCAAAATGAAACAAGATACAAACATAAAAAAATACAAAGAATGAGAAATATAAGGGGCCCTCAATATTAGTCTTGTAGAAAGCAAAAAGAGCAGATTGATAAACTCAAGGCACACCCTGGTTCCTTCCCCATCTGGCCTAGGAAGGACAACCTGGAATGAGAAGGGAGGTTTGGGATCAAGGTGAGACCCATAAGCATTATAGGTGGTGAGGGCTTGCTCTTCTGAGGCTCCTCAACAGCTAAGAAATTCGAGTTCTAGTTTGGGATTAGGGGAAGGAGCCTGCCCTCCCTTCTAGGGGAGCTACTCTTACAGCTTGATTGACTGATGGGTCTCGAAGACACAGGCTGGTACTGAGTGCCTGCTCCATAGGTGTAAGGTTAGGAGCAGTAGGGCTGGGGAACTCAGATGGGGCTCCGTCTCACTCTCAGAAAGTAGAGGTAAGAAAGAGGGCAAAAGAAAACAAGTCATTTCAAAATATCCCTGGAGAGATGGCTCAGAGGTTAAGTGCATTGCCTGCTCTACCAAAGGTCCCAAGTTCAATTCCCAGCAACCACGTGGTGGCTCACAACCATCTGTAATGGGGTCTGGTGCCCTCTTCTGGCCTGCAGGCATATACAAAATATCCCTCGGTGTTAAAAAAAAATCAAAAAGTTACTGTGATATCTGTCTTTGTATGTTACGATCCAGAGGGCAGTCAGTGGGTGTGAGTCTGCTTCACACTGATCTGGCAGGCACCTCAGGGATCAGAAATATACTTTACCAGGCACTGGCCTGGGCCACATGGTCTACAGTTACTGGAGCAGAGTTATATAGAATGAGTATCAGAAATGTGGCCTTCAGAGAAAGGACCCCAGAGCCTCACCCCAGAGTTCTTTCCCCTCCGCCACCAGCATCAGCACCTTCGAGTCCATTAGCCACAGCACCTGGCCGCTTGGTCCCTGTGAACACAGCGGTGGAAGCACCCTTGGCTCTCCCAGCTGTAAGGTTAGCCCTTCGAGCTGCTCCCAGAAACACTGGTGGTTTGGGGCAAGGCCATCGGCTGCAAACTTGGTGCCCAGTTCTGTCTGGGTTGGCTGTCGGGATCTGTGTGTGCTGCTTGAAGCCTTAAAGAAAAGAGAGATGGCATATCAAGATGCAGGAGGGCTGGGTGCCTCCCAGCAGGAGGCTGGAACTTTAGGTTGGAAGAGACCACTTCAAGTCTGGCTTTCAGCCTTGGGGTAGAGTCAGGTGTCTGTTCCAGAGAGGGAGTCCTCTGTGGCTCAGGTGGGGCCAGGATGAAGGCAGGCAGGCTGAGTTTAAGGCATTTGGCCCTTGAAGAGAGTGCTTCTCTGTCGGCATACTGTACCAGCCCTGAACACCAGCTGTTTCTCTGGCCTTTGCAGGATACAACTTTTCCTACCAGAGTCCAGGCCCTGGCTGTTTATACTGGGTCTCTGGGTTCTAGTTCATCTGTTCGTACCCTGGTTTCTTTCTGTACAAACAGAAGTGCTGGATGAAGAAGACAACATCAAAGAAGATGGTGAAGACCCCAAGTCCAAACTTAGTTGGGTCTCCGAAGATCAGCGTCCATTGGTCTGTTAATAGCCAGAGAGAACAGAATCTTTTTTTAGCTTCTAAGGCAGGTGGATGTGTGGGGATGTGAGGACCCCCATTTGCCCAGGAAACTGCACGACCTAGGGGAATCCCAGGAAGCCCCTTCCTCCTGTGCTTTCACTCATTGGGTAGAAGCAGCTTTGGCAGACTCACCATTATTGTAAGACTGGAGGAACATCTGGAGGAGGCTAAAGCTGCCCCCTGTGAAGTCCAGAAGCACACCGCCAATGCTCCAGCCCTCGGTGCTTTTGTAGTAAAAGTTCATGTAGGCCTGGGGACAAACAATGCCACACATGCGTTGTGACTGCTACTCCAAATGATATCTGCTGATTCTTCCCACTCATGTACTAAACTCAGGGCTCCAAAGAACACAGTGACCTCTGGGCTTTTGACAGACTGGAGCTAGGGAAACAGGCCCCAGTCTGTATGCAGGGCAAGGGAAGCTTTCCTTTCCTCTCTGCCCTTTCTGCACTCCTGGACCCCAGTGGGGTGGGGTGGGGGCGGAGGAGTGCTGCCTGGCTCCTCAGCCTCTTAGAGGCAGACCTCCAATTTTTATTTTTGTTTATTTTAAGCCAGTGTCTATTTACCTTAGGCTGGCCTTGAGCTCATGATCCTGTTTCAGCTTCCCAGATACTCCAAGTACTAGGATTACAGGTGTGTACCACTGTGTCTGACTGTGACTCTTGATCCTTCACAGCTCCAGTGATCCTGTCTCCGATCTCAGCCTGAACTCCACTTAGGAATGTGGTTAGGAGCCAGACTCTGGTGTGGAATCCAGCTCCAGCTGTGGAGTCAGGGCTATCCTTTAGTTCTTCCACCTGGGCTTCCTAACTCTTGGGCATTATTCCCCACTTCCTGCTGCCCCAACCTCACCAAACCCACAGTGCCCTCAGAGTATCTCTAGCTGGCACCAGCTCCTTTCCTACCATGCAGGAGGGAGGTCTTGGCCTTATTAGCAGCCATACTGATCTTTCTCATTCTGTCCCCCCCCCTTAGTGTTGCCTCTCCAGTTCTAGATAATCCCCAATGTCTCCCACAAATGTTCCTGCCTCCGGTTCCCAGCCTTAAGCCTCACCACACAGCCTGGTTCCTCCATGGCTCTAGCTACCCAGTTTCTAGATTCTCAATATTGCTCAGCAGTCAGATTTCCATGCAGGGTACCCAGGCCTGAGCTGGCACTCTCCACAGTCTACAGAACTCCGCTTTCCCCTCAGGGTCTACTCCTGCCTGTAGCCAGTGGATACAAGACTCAGCTCTGAGGCTTCTTTGTTGGGAGAGTTCAAGGCGGCTCTAGAACTCCTATGTGGATGTCATTTCTTTACACCAGGCTCTAGCCTCGAGCCATCATGCCTGCCAGGGAAAACATGTTTGAGTCTAAGCTCCAGGTCCTGGATTGAACTCTAAGAACTGGGGAGGGGAGTGTGCTGAGGGACCTCCTTGGAGAACATCTCAAAGGAGAAGGCCACAGTGGTCAACTCCCTCCTCTGTCTGATCTTTTCTTTTTTCTTTTTTTATGGTTTTTTTTTTGAGACAGGGTTTCTCTGTGGCTTTGGAGCCTGTCCTGGAACTAGTTCTGTAGACCAGGCTGGTTTCGAACTCACAGAGATCCGCCTGCCTCTGCCTCCCGAGTGCTGGGATTAAAGGTGTGCGCCACCATTGCCCGGCTGCCTGATCTTTTCTGATTGGTCCTTAGAGATGGCTATTGTGGCAGGCAGGCAAGAGAGAGAAATCCTAAGTTATTAGGAAAGACTCCAGGAGAGCAGGCTGTGGTACCCACTGGCTTTTTGCCATTCTAGGTTTACCGGCTTCTACCATAGCTTTCCCCTTGTTTTCTTAGCTTGGTAAAAGCTACCTCATGAGAGCAGGGCCTGGGCCCAGTACCTCTTGCCTCTCACACTACCAGCCATATGGAAATGCAGGAAGGTTCTTGGGTACCTGTGGAAAATACTTGATCAGCGTGACGGCGAGCTTGATGTAGGAGAAACAGAAGAGGAACTGGAGCCATGTGGTCACACCGACTGCAGCCACAATCATGGTGACTAACACAAAGAGCCATGCGAGTACCAGGAAGCCAATGGAGGGCCATGACACATGCTGGTTGCCCCGCTGAGGATGAGAAAAAGGTGGGGTTTGTAGATGTGGACACAAAGGTTGCTTGATGATTTCAGGAAAGGGTGGCTTTGGACAGGGGTGCAGGATGGAGGCAGAAGTCTGGCCTTGGTGTAACCTGTGTAAAGGGGGCCAAGAGTACTAGGCCTGTGTCTGCATAAAGCCAGGGCAGGAGACCAAATCCACAGATTGTTGGTCTCTGGGTGGTGAGTGAATCAAGCCTGGGCTGGGATGAGGTGTGGAGTTCCTAGCAACAGCCCCACCCTTTACAGTCAAGCTCTCCAGTTCCATTCATGATCCTCCAGCCCCTGCCAATCAAGTTTCACCTCCACAGAGTTGGACACCTCAGAGCTCATTTGGAGGAGCAAACAGTGCAGGGCATAAATCCCGGTGTTGGAGGTCCAAAACCTCACCTAGCCTGCTGATAGCTCATCCCACGATGTGGAAGAAACCTGGGAGTCTGTCCCCCACTGCAGCTTTTCTCTAGACATGGCCCCAAAGGGAAACCTTCAGCAGAGCATCACAGCAAAGGTGCAAGAAAACCAAGGAGCCCCCACTGGTCTTGTGATGCGGGGGTGCCACATTATGGAGAGGCGATGCTAAAGCTCACGTCAGGGGTGCTCCTGTGAAACACTGGGACTTCTAGGTACCCCCAATCCATGCTGAAACCCCAGATAGCTTTTCAGTGACAGCTGAATCCAGGTTCCTCCTGACCTCCCAGGAGCTGGCTCCCTGGCCATTCCCATCTACTCACAGTTTCCCTCATGCCATGGTGAATGATCTTGCCTTTCCCTTTACCAAGAACCTCATTCAGCCTTGGCTCAAGAAAACACCATTTTCCTGACACCCCCCCCCCTCAGTTAAGCCAGGGACAGGATAGGAAAGCCCACCCCAAATCCATTCTGCCACAAAAGGCTGGGGGCCATCATGCCACCATTCCTTCAGGGCATGCGGGTAGAATGGGGTTGGGGTTGGTTTAGGACATCAGTGGCAGGCCAGGTCAGACCTCATCGCTCACCTCATACAGGCAGCATTGCAGGATGACAATCAGGGTGAGAACAACCGCATGCAGGCTGAAGAAGGCGTCATTACTGTCGACAGGGTTCACACCATTGGGATATTTGAGGAGAAACTGCTCCTGTTGGGGGGTGAGGAGAAGCTAAGAGGTGAAGAGAAGCAGTTTGGGTGGGATGTAGGGAGCGAGCGATGCTGTACCTGAATGTAGGGTACCCATAAAAGACCAATGTTGAAAACACTGTAGGCCACGAAGCCGGTCAAGTTCAGGGCTAAGAAGTCAAAGCTGAGACCAATGACACTGCAGGGGGGCAGAGGAGAAAAAAAAGTAGGGAAGGGTTAAGGCAGGGAACCCCTGGGATGGGAAGGGACATTAGCACCTAGTACATGAGAAAGGAGGCCTCAGCATCATCCTTAGAGATCTCTCCATTACCATGGCTGATGCCACCCAACTGGCCCTCTTGAGAGCCAATCCCCTCTTCTCTCCTTTACTCCAGAGGTTCCTGCTGGAGGCCTCTAGGGGAGAGAGAGCACCCACTTCCCTGGCTCACTGCTTGGCAGTCCCCTAAGAGACCCGAGACCCAGTGTGAAGACAGGAGAGCTATACAGTCTCAGGGCCTAAAGGCTGTATGACATGGAGTCCAGCTTTCCAGGGCCAAGGAGTTTCAGGGCAGAATTTCCCCCACCCAGTCTGTTTTTGATTTAGGTGAGAAGCTCCATGTCATTGTTCCCATAGGGAAGGGCTAAACTGGGCAAGGAACTGAATATACAGCATAGGAAACCCCACCCTACTTGTACAGAGACGAGTGTAGAGGGGTGTCTTCCCGTGGCCCCACAAGGGTCTGCAGGGACAGCTCTAAGCTGGGCAAGTTACCTTTTCCGCCTCCAGTTCTGGATCACCTGTGGGTAGAAGGAGACAGACCAGGCCATGAAGTAGATCCAGCCAATCACCTGGTTTATGATGCTAATGATTCTGCTGTGTATCACCAAGAACCGAATCCTGGGACTAGAAAGGAATTTGGGGTGAGGATGCATTGAAGTGAAGCTTCTGGAGGAAGCCCCGATGCACATCTGTGCCTGTCCACCCTTCCTGTTCTAGGAGGCCACAGGGGTGGGGCAGACACCAGCCTACCAGGTCTGGTTGGAATGATTGCCGTGCAGATAAACAGTCACTTGTCCAACATTTTGAGAAGTCACTTGGAAAGACACATTCTTCTCTCCGGGAGGCACTATGACCTGTTAAGAAGGCTGAATTTCATCTGTGGCCATATACAGTTAACAGGGTCTGGCTCCAGGCCATGAACCAGGGAATGGGGGCAGGGGTATATCATACTTGGTTCTGCTTTCTGAGAACTTACTAACCAGGCATAAGAATCCCACCCTGCCCATGTTTCCATCTGGTTTCCTTCAGCAAATCCTACTGCGTGCACCACCACAACTGGCTCCATCTGGTTTTCTGAGCAGAACTGTAGGCCGGTCTTTAGCCCTCCCTGGCTAACCACCAAAGGAGTGTAGGATAACTTTTGTCCTCTCAAGCTCAGTGTACTCATCTGTACATGGGGGTAACACCAGTGCCTGTCTCATAGGGCTGCTTTGGATATGATGTCCCTAAAGCTTCCAGTGCAGAGCTGGGCGCACGGCAGGCTAGGAGTGCTTCGTACCACGACCGTGAGAGCAGTGTTATTTCTATTTCCATTGTTGTGTGCTCAGTGAAATCCATAAAGGATGTTTCCCCATGCCCGGCCTCACTGTCTAACAGCAAAGCAGAAGAAGTGGGAACACAAGATGCTCTTGTGGTCATTTCTGCTTGATGTTTGTCAAAAGCCCTGCTTCTGGAAGATGGGCTTGGAGCCTGCCTGTGCCATCTGATTTTTTTTTTTTATCATCTTCCTGCTGCACTGAACTTCCCTCAGAGAAGCGGGGAGCTGGATGGCATCTTGATGGAACCAAACTGTCCCCATTTGCCTTATAACATTCTCGGTCCCACTCTCCACCTTTGTTGCAAGTACCACATGCATGCAGCTCATTACACCATGGTGTTTCTTTTTCTGTCTCTTTCTCTGGTTTTCTAAGACAGAGTCTTGTTATGCAGCTCTTCCTAGCTTGCAACTTAGTATGTAGCTCCAGCTGGCCTCACACTCACAGAAATCCCCATGCCTTAGACTCCTGGGGGCTGGGATTACAGGTAGAAGCCACCGCACCTGTCCCCCCACCCCCAGCCCACCCACACACAGGGTTTTGCTAACACAGCACAATCTGGCTGAGACTTTGAGATCACCCTACTTTCAGCTCCCAATGGATGGGATGCCTGGCAAGCAGGGGCTTCTTACTGGACTTGAGGCTCTGCCAGGTACAATGCCAGCTGTTTTATATTTGCTGCTATTGCTTTTAATCTCTAGAATGTGGTCTAGGAGACATGATACCTACAAATAAGGGAAACACTGTCTGGCTGAAGTCCCTGACCCAACGCTTCTAGGCTGAACTCCTAGACCTCCTAACTCCCAGGTTCTAACCATTGGCTTCCTATACCACAGGTACAGGACAAGAACGGGCAGGGAGGGGCCAGTGATGCAGGAGCCTGAGAAGGTGGGTTCAGGTGTTCCTAAAGATCATCTTCCAACAATGGTTTGGTTTTGACTCTCGCTGCTAATTAAACAAACAGACCTGGCCTATAATACTCATACAGAAAAGCATACACATCACAGCTTGATGAAGTGTCTCTATACACTACACACATTTAGCCTCCAGATCAAAAAATGAGCATTTCCAACACCCCAGAAGCTCCACCCAGCTCCCCTTTGCCCCAGCCTCTTGACCCTGAGGATAACCACTGGCCTGACACCAGAGGTTCACTGTTTTTATTCAAGGAACCTTACAGCCCATTTTTTGTGTTGGGCTTCTTTTGCCTGTTATTCTTGACTTTCATTTATTTTTACAGGAGGACACCTTTACTTCGCTGTCTACATATAAACTAACTGGTATCTGTTCCTCTGAGTCTCTACATGTGACCTGCAGGTCAAACAAAGCTTAGCCTTGAAGTAGACCTGCTATTAGGACTGTGTCTTTCATTGTGTTGCATTCTGGCCTCAGCCTTCAGGCTCCTTGTGTCTGTGTTTGCAGTGGTTAATACTGTACAATGCTACCCACGGGGACAAGGGTGTATAAGGGCTACCTCTGACAGAGGGGCTCTTTAGTGGGATACTCTGAATCCCCTCTTACTGCTGTTTGCTTGCTGGGGGGCTCAGAATGATTTGTAGCCCATTTCCACAACTACCCAGGGTTTTTTGAACATCAAGGTTGTCCTTGCATTTTTTTCTTACAGCCCCTCCTCATCCTTTGTTATTATGGACATATAAAAATTGTATATGATAAAGTGTGATGCTTTAATCTATGTATTCATTGCAATATGGTTAAAATAAGATAACGTATCCACTACTTTACATACTTAACATTCTTTTGTTGGGTGTGGGAACATTGAAGATCTAATCTTTTATCAGTTTTCAAGTATAGGCACATTTCCTTTAACAACAGGATATTACATAGTCATGTGAACACTTGTAATGAGTATGTACACAAATAAAGGTGGTTATGACATCATTGGGTAATATAACCTTATGAATCCACTGTCCTATACATGGTCCTTCCTCAACCAAATACTATTATTTGATATATAATTATATTATGATACTTCGTTGTTAATAATAGTCACTATGGCCTTCAGACTTATCTGACTGATGTTAAGCTTTTTTTTCTTCTTTTCTTTCAGTACTTAGGATTGAATTAGTACCTTGTGCATGCTACTAAATGCTCCACAACTGAAGTTGTTTTGGTTGTTTTTTTTTTTCCCCTGAGACATGGAGACAGGGTCTTTCTATGTAGTCCTGGCTGTCCTAGAACTTGCAAAGTAGATCAAGCTGGTCTGTAACTCACAGAGTTTCACTTGCCTCTGCCTCCTAAGTGCTGGGATTTAAGGTGTGTGCCACCACATCCAGCTGTACCACTGAGGTCTAACTCCAGCTTTTTATTTTCTACCTTTTATTTTGGGACAGGTCTCACTATTTTCCCAGGTTGGCTATGAACTTGTTCTGCAGCTTAGGCAGGTCTTGAACTTGTGACCTCCTGCTTCAGCCTATCAAACAGCTGAGATTACAGGCCCACCATTTGCTTGTTTTTATCTGGAGTTGCTGCTTCCCTATTAAAGTATTTTTATATAGCCAATGACAACTGATTTATATTACTGGCAATGTAGGAGCAGGAAGATAAAACATAAAAAGCTATGAATGATCATCACTATTACACAGAAAACCTCTGAGACAGTTCTGCAATTGACACCCAACCACCACCAATGTCTCAGAATGACATGAACCCCCCTAGTCACTCACAGACCCTGCTAACATGTAGACTTTGAACTAGTAGGTCTGGGCTAAGCCTGAGATTCTGTTAGAAACACAAAAATTAGAAAGTTAGTCTTTCTCTCCACACACACATTAACTTTCCCCTTCCTTCCTTCCTTCCTTCCTTCCTTCCTTCCTTCCTTCCTTGTTGTGTGTGTTGGCAGAGATTGAACATAAAGCCTCACGTATGCCAGGTAAACACTCTACACACCGAGAACCCCTCATTTCCTAAAATGTTTTAAAGCAAGGCTGATACTTCCTATACAAAGATATGGCAGGGCCTTAAAATATCTTTAGAGCTTCTCCATTCTCAGAACCACCTTTGCCTCAAGCTTTTTAAAATTTTTTATCTTATTTATTTTTTGGCACCTGTCTGTACACTGTACCTTACTTATTATTATTAACCACGGTTTAGCTCTAGGATTGAAGACCCGGAAGCTATTCATCTCAACTTGCATTCATCTTGTGAATCCTTCACTCAAACTACATAGCAGAAAACATTCAACCTTAAAGAGGCCAACAAAGCCCAAACCACATATTTCTATGATGGAGTGGGGTGTGCGGGGGCGGGGGGGAGACTAGGTAACTTTCCCCCACAATTAAAATTAAAATGTGTTCTGTTGCCGAGTGTTGCCTTAAGCATTAGTAAGGTCTGTTACTTACTTCATCAGGAAGCTCCAGAATAGTAAGATTTTTTGAACGAAATGTGATTTCAAAAGTGATCACCAAGGTTGCATTTAATGGATGCCTAGGAGGATAAGAGTCTGGTTACTGTTGGGAGGTTGGACCCTGTAAGATGTCAATCGACCCTCTGGATTTCACACTAGGTCTTCCTCTCTCTGGAAATCAGGATCAGGAAGGGCAGTGTGCTCAGACTACACAATCCAGCCACCAGATCAAGAAATGAGCATTTCCAACACCCCAGAAGCCCTGTTCTGCTCCCCTCAAGTTTCCTGACCCCAAGGATAACCACTGGCCTGGCGTCATGGAGTTGCTGTTTTTTATATTTTATATACAAAGAATCTGACAGCCTGGAGTTTTTTGTGTTTACCTTCTTTTGCATGACATTATTCTTTACTTTCATTTATTTCTATAGGAGAATACCTTTACCTAGGTATTTTCCCCAAAACTGGGAGAGGTAGAAGGAACCATGTTCCCACTTTATGAGGAGACTAGATATTCCTTTGGAGTAGGATGAGAACACAAGAAGGTGGAATTCTAGCTGTGAACAATGGGGGCAAATAGAACAGGCCAATGGCTCTCTGCCCCAGTGGGAAAAGTTCCTTCGGTAGGGTCAGCTCCGAGCAGGGTGTGGTGTGAAGGTCAGCAGGGATGGGATGAAGTGAGTCCTTTCGAAGCAACCCATGGAGACCTCAAATACGGGAAGCTACTTAAAGATTCCAGAGAGGGGAGAGAGGGTAAGCAGACAACTTAGATGGTTTATATGAGGTAGGTGTGCAAAGTATGAGGACAGAGCAGCAGGTCTGTGAGGAGGCCTGGGGACTTTCCAGGGCAGGTGTAAAGAGCATTGTCTCATCTGGGAGCCACAGGCATGGTGAAGCAGTTGCAGGCCCCAGAGACAGAGGAATATCTTCTGGCAGAGGGTGAACCAGGTTAGGACCTTCATGCCTAAACCAGTAGGTGTCAGCAAGTAAGACTTTTTTCTTTTCTTTTTCCTGAGACAGGATTTCTCTGTAGCTTTGGAGCCTGTCCTGGAACTTGCTCTGTAAACCAGGCTGGCCTCAAACTCAAAGATCCACCTGCCTCTGCCTCCTGAGTCCTGAGATTAAAGGTGTGCATCACCACGCCTGGCACACAAGGAAGACTGTTAAACAAAGGCTAAGTGTGATCAGGGATGGGTGGAACCCCTTGATACTCTCACTTCTGCTTTGGCAAGTGACCTCAGCTGTGCTATGCTGATCAGCAGTTCAGTTCTCCATCCCTTGACTTTTAGGGCTCTGCTCATATATTTAGTCTTGAAAAGGGTCTTGAAGTCTGGCATCACCTGTGGCCACCAGAAGACTCTTCTTGTTAGAGGAAGCAGCTCATGTTTCTAGGGAAATGTGTCTTCTTTTTCTCCCAGTGGAAACAGGGACTCTGTAGACTCTGTAGGTGTTTGACTTTGGGACCCTGCTCTGCAATCTTAGACTCTTTTTATGTCCTACAACAAAGGCAAGGGCATCACACTGGAAGTCCATGCAGACTATGCCAGAGGTCAGTACCAAGTGGGGATGAGGAGAGAACTGGGCTTGAGAACTTACCCAAGGGTGATGCTGACATTGGTTGAACTGCCATTTTCCAGCTTCACAGTGGGAGGAACCGTGAGACTAACAGTTGACTCTGGAAAGATGCAAGTCAATGCCATGAGTCACCACGACAAAGAGTTTAGCCCACAAGGAGGAATGGGCACCAGGCCCTGCCATCTGAACTCACTAGCCCTGATTCATTGATAGTACTTTCAGACTTGTATTATGATCTTTCCGTCTCTGCACCAGGGCCAGACTGCCACAGTTTAGAGCAGGAAGTGCTGGAGCTTCCTCTTCCTTCCCCTATGTGGGCAAGCTGAGTTCCCCAGAAATGGTTTGGGAGCTACAGAGCCCAAAAGTTATAAAACAGACATTCAGTTCAACACCTGTGATTTTTTTTTTCTCGAGACATTGTTTTTTAGTGTGTGTGTGTAGCTTTGGGGCCTGTCCTGGAACTCACTCTGAGCTCACAGAGATCCGCCTGCCTCTGCCTCCTGAGTGCTGGGATTAAAGGCGTGCGCCATCACTGCTCAACCAACATCTGGGATTGTTAAGGGTGGACTGGAGAAACATTGAAAACAGCCATGGGTCCCCTCTGAAAAACTGGTCTGGTCTCATTCCTGGATTCTGAGATGGGCACAAGGCTCGGCTAACATGTTTCTAAAGAACCATCTGGGCTTTCCTGCAGACTCAGTTCACCCCATGCATGGTTCCCTCTCTGAGGCTGTGTGCTAGGGACTGGAGGATATTGGTGAGGGATGTACACTTTTCACCATCAGGGCTTGCTTCTTGGCATGAAGGTGCTAACTCAGGAGCAGGTGGACAAACAGGCCTCCAGGGTGAGGGAGGAAGCAGGATTGAGTCTTAGAAAGCCATGTTGGGGTGAGGGCCAGGCTGGGAGTATAACTCAGAGGGAGAATGTATGACTAGTAAGCATAAGACCCTGAATCTAATCTTTAGCATCAAAACAAAACAAAATGAAACAAAATGCCAAGAGGAAGAAGGAAGATAATTTTGGGAAATCAAATAACCAAGCACACTGTGGTCACAGGGAATGGCTGACTAGCTTGAATAATTCCTGTATTCTTTGGACAGTTCACCTCCTTTGTCACTGTGCCATGCTGAGGCATTCAAAGCTTCAGGGCATACCTGGCCATCTCACCTCCCCTGCCTTACAGACTTCAAGGACAGGCACATCCTAGAAGTCATGATCAGGGATCCAGACTAAGAGAGGAAAGGGTATCTTAGGCAGCAGAGCAAGTGCTCCATCTGGTGAAACGATTCCCACAGGGATAGGAGGTGCAGGCCTCTACCCAGAACCCTCCATGGCAGAAGATGAAGAACTAGGACCTGAAATTTTAGAGCTTAGGATAGAGAGAACAGTGTCACTTCTCCAACCTCAACTGTCTCCCCTTGGTGTTCCCACCTTCCTGGGAGAGTCACCTTATGTCCCAAGGTGCTCACAATTCTGAGCCCAGTTCTGCCACATCTGAGCTGCTTTCTACAGCTTGGTCCCCATGTATAAATGCAGATGGTGGCTGTCCCCAAAGTACAAGTCTCTCAGATGTGATTCTCCATAGTGCAGTCTCTAGCTCCCTCACCAGTGGATTCTTCAGGTCAGATCAGTTGTTGTAGCTTCACCGTCTGGAGGCTGCTCTGGCAACTCTGTTCCTGCCATGCTAACTATCGTGTCCTACATGCTATGCTAACTCTATACTGCCTGCAGTGCTATCAGTCTGAGGCTTTGTTCTGGGCTTGCCCAGCTAGGGGAGTGCAGGACTTACTATCTCAGTCTATGAAATTTTATTTACTGCTCAGGACTACGTCAGGTAAGTAAGACCCAGAGCAAGTCACTGCTCGGTGCAGGCACATGCATGTTGTGTGTGTACGTGTAGGCATTTAAAAGGGTATCAGGGAGTTAGATTTTTCCAGTCTTTGTATATTAAAGTAGGAATATGGGAACTTTCAAAGAACCAGATCAGAGAGCGTTTAAATCATCCTCACTCAGTACTATGGAAAACACTAGTGGTCAAGCAAATGAGATTCTAGGCTCTGAAGCCACACAGTTCCATCCTGGTTTGATACTCCCTAGCTGTGTGATTCCATCCTGGTTTGATACTCCCTAGCTGTGTGACCTGTTGAAAGGTACTTTACTATTGAGCCGACACCTGTAGAGCCTCACCTGTAAAATGGGTGGAATAAGACCTGTCTCACAGATAAAATTCAAAATGGTTAGCAGCACGCTTTCTACTTTCTACATGGCCTCAATGCTAAACAGTTGTTAGCGTCTATACTGTCATCGCTTTACAACTGCAGGCTAGTTTTAGTCCAAGATAGGAGGCAGCTGGGAAGCTGTATCATACCCAGGGACAGCAGGAGCCACGGGGAGACCACCTTGTTTCCCCTACAGCAAACCAATCTCTCCTTCCCTATTTTCCCCCCTCTCCCAGACTGGGAATTGAATACCAGGTCTTTACACACGCAGTGCAAGTGATCTACACTGGGCTCCATATTTAGCCCTTCTTATGTTCTTACTTTTAAACTTTGAAATAGGGTCACATTAAATTGTTCAAGCAGTCTTTAATTAATCTTGTCCCATAACTTGTACCTTAAACTTATGATTCTCCTGCCTCAGTAGCAAGGATTATAGATCTAAGCCACTGCTGCTGGCTGGTACCACTCTGCACTCTACCTCATCCCAGTCATTGCTACTGACTCTCTTTCTTTCCTCCCTTCCTCCTCCTCCCTCCCTCTTTTCTCTCTCTCTCTCTCGCTTTCTTTCTTTCTGTGAGGTCCCACAATCTGCCTGGAATGCAAGGACACTATTGATTTTCCTGTCTCAGTTCCGGAGTGCTGGGACTACAGGTATGACACCATTTCTGTTGTTCTCGTCACCCCCATTTTATATATATATATCCAATAGGAATTGGGCATTTTTGGTCCTATTTTAAGTCTAGGAAAACTCCCTCCAGAGGGAAGGAGCCCTGCTCCCATAGCTACACATGACTGAATAAGGATTCAAAGCTAGGCTTGTTGGGTCCAAAGCCCAAGCAGTTACCACTAGGCTGCACTGCCACAAATTCCACTCAAAGAAGTCAGAAGCTACAATCTCTGGAGGCTTTCTGTTCTTGTGTCATCCTTGATGCTGACATCCCAAACAGAGAAGAAAAGTCCAGCAGAATGAGGCTGGGATCCAATCCAATTCCAGGTTCTCAATTCTGTGGTAGCATCCATTGCTCCTTCATAGAGACGGTCAGAAGAAAGAGGCAAATGGAACAGAGGCCCTTTTCCAGTCGTAGTTTTATCTGTGAGGCTTTCTACCCTGCCTGTGTCTCAGTTTACCCTCTGTGTAGTTGGGAGTACTGGCAAGATTTTCCACGATCTCCTAGGCAGTATCCTTTATGTGCTCATGCACACATGCATACACAAGCATGCACTCAATTCCTGGAGAGTCGACTCAATAGGGCTGAAGTGTGGCATCCCTCTGCAGAAAGGCGGCAGCGCCAGGCCTCATGGTCTGAGTCCCTCCTTACCATTTCCCCCCCAGAGATTACTTCTCCATAAGGTGTGACTACTAAGGAATATGACCGATATTTACCAAACCTAGGTGAGCCGATCAGATGACCAGTTTTCTGGCCATCAAGAGGCCAGGTAACCATAATGATGCAGGCAGTGTGTGCAGCTTTAGGGCACATGTGTAGGACTTCTAGTGTTTCCCCAGGCTTCTGAAATTGTTTGTCAGGGACTTTAAGATACATTTGCTTTGGTGTAATGGCCTACCTAATGATGAATATGGGCCTGGGATCTGGGAGTACCAAACAAAGCTATTCACAGAAGGAATCCCAGAAATGTCTTGTGTATTTCAAGGATGACAACAGAATTTGAAGGGATCCTCTGACAAGGATGTATGAACTCCACTAGCGTGCTTTCTGTGTGGCTCAGGATGCTGTAACTAGCTCCGATCTTCTCTAAGGGAAAGGTATTTTCTTTAATGTCTCCCAGGACCCACAACTCTCTCCGTGAGGTCCAGAGGGCAGAAGCACAAGTTGTTCTGTATAGATACTACCTCAGCTTGGAGAGGCTCTGAGAGCCAGTCGTACGGTCTGACTAAATAACCAACTACTACCTCTGTTGATACAGAGAAGGCAAGAGGCACCCCAGCACAATAGGCCAGTTATGTTTGGGACCATTTGGCTCTTTGTATGTCCCCATACCACACCTGAATCTGGCTATCTCGCTGAGTGGGAGGCCGACCGTAGGTGGCATGGAGAGCACTAAACCTTTGGTGACAAACAGGTTACACTTTCCACTGTTTCCCTTTTTACAAAGCCGAGAAGTTACTCTTAAACTTACCGCATTTCTCCATGAAGTTCAAGAGGAAAAGGGTCAAAATAAGCAGGCAATTCCTCGCCATGTTCTCTGACTTCTCAGAACTAGGAAAAAAGACAAACGGCAAGAGAGAGGCATGTTAAGGATGAATTAGCTCAGCTCTTGGTGGACAACATGCTACCTGAGCCCTGGCAGTGGGACAATTCATAAAGGACTTCTACTTCACAGGCTCTGTGACCTCTGACCTCACAGGCTTGGCATCACAACCTCCGAGAAGGAGACCTCAGAGAGGTCTTATCTTTGCTTTGTGTAATGGGCAAACCTGCTCAGAGCACCTAAGTGGGTTGTGTGAAGTCCTACTCTGAGGAAGTGAGCGCAGACCCGTACCGTTCCCTCAACTACTTTCCACAACCCAGTTAACAGGGAAGGAAAATGAATGGAGTTTCTCTGGCAGAGTGTTCTCTTTTTCCAAAACCCATCTCTTCTCTAGTTTCACCGAGGCAGATATGGACCATGAAATTCAAACACTCTGTCAGCAAAAAAAAAAAAAAAAAAAAAAAAAAAAAAGTCCCCCAGTGCTAAAGGCTAAGACATCCGGAAGAAAAACCGCAGAACAGATGAAAAAAGAATTGACAAGATGACCACAGGGCTAAAATGATCAGATTGGTTAACCGCACAACTAGGCTTGTTCAGAAAGAAAGACACTTGCCATGCCCATCTTGGGTGTGTGTTCTAACCTCCTCCAGGCCTCAGTCACGTGGTGCTTTCAATCTACCATTCCCACTCAAGAGCAACCTGGAATCAGACAACCCCTGCGGCGGCTTCCTTTGTCAGGTGGCTGAGGTAGTCCTGCCCTTGGTGCATAACCTGGAACTTCCTCAAGGCATAACTAACATAGACTGGACAAGGAATATGTTCCCGGGAGATGGACTGTCCAGGTCTCAGGCTTCCCGTTTACCTGCTGTATAAATTTGGAATACTTTTTAACTGAGGCTTCCTAATGGGGGAACAGGGACAGTAGTAACCGCACCACAGAATTAAAGTGAGATGAAACTTAAGACCTGCATTCTCAAAGGGGGCTAAAACAGACTCTTGGGGTCTGAAAATATCTGCAACTATTATTGTGGCACCCCCAAAAGCCATAATACAAAAAATAGAGCTTATCAGCTGTATTAAAATTTTTAAGGAGGTAGACTGATAAGATAAAAATGTTGAGAAACAATGATGTAATGTTATTATTGCTACCACCCAGGGCTCCCAACAAGCTCTCACAAAGCACTTATTTTCCTCAATATTACTGAAAAGGCAAGACCCAGGTGTCCTCTCTTCCTCTGGGCGAATCAACAGGAGCTTCTGGAACGGTCCTAACAGTATCTAACTTTCCCCCCCAAGCCACTTGCACCTTCCCAAGCCAGACTGAGGCGCACCAGAGGAGGCAAGCAAGGGGTTCCAACTGCACTCGAACAGTGCCACCGACATTGGTTGGCAGCCGCTAGCAGTGCTTTTGATCACCAATATCCTGGCCCTTCAACTTGGATGCAGGCCTGGGCTGGGGCCTGAGGACAGAAACCCAGGATCAGCTGAAGGAGGCTGCATTCGCGACGGACTGCTCCTCTTAGGTGTCCGGCTACTGTCTGCTGCCGGGCGGGTGGTGTCCTACCAGAAAAAAAGAGAGGCCGTGCCAACCGCGATAGTTCTCACCTGACAGCCTCCCAGGATCGGTGGACTGACCTCACCGAAAGCAGCAATCTCGCGCCAGATGCCTCTTCAGAATGTAAAGGACTCTTTGGGCTCCGCTGACTTTGTGTGAGGGCGGGGCCAGCTGTCACCTGACTGGTTTATGGAGCTGATCGTTGGGCGCGAGGAGCTCTGGGAGTTGTAGTTTTCACGAGTCCTAGCCCGATAAAACTGGGTAGGGTCGAGGGAAGGGCGCATGCATCTTGGCAGGGGCGGGGCTCGGATGTGAGGGGAGAGCTAGTCACTTGTCGCGCCTGCGGCAGGACTCTCGGAGTCTCTGTCGTCTTTCGGTGAAGATTCTCGGACGCGCGGCACAGTCCGGGAACCTCCACCCGATAGGTCCCGCCTCTGTCGCCTCTCTACCTATCGCCGGGGGTGCTGTGTGTGGCAGTCTGCCGTCCTTAGCCAATGGGAAGACAAGAAGTCGCCCTGTTCGCGTGTCAGGGAAGCCCCGCCCCCGCGCTGCCCTCCCCAGTGAAGTGTTCCTGGGCTAGCGCGCTCCTCAAACCAGCGCAGCTTCTCTGTCACCGCGGCTATGGCTTCGCGACCCGTCACTCTCGGCATCGACTTGGGCACCACGTCCGTGAAGGCCGCCCTGTTGGAAGCTGCACCCGGCAGCCCATCCGGGTTCGTGGTGCTGGCCAGCTGCGCCCGGGCTGCCCGGGCAGAGACAGAGAGCGCAGAGGCCGGGTCCCAGGTGAGGCAGCGTCCTGGAGCCGCCAGCCACCCCCGGACGACCCTGGCGGCATCCCGGACAGCACCTTTCTGTGAAGAAGTACCTCTGACTGTCCAGTCTGTCCGACCTCCGCCTGCTGTCCTTTCCTCCAGAGCCTCGCAGCCTGCTGCAGCTCAGGCTAAGCCGTTAGATTTTCCCAGGGAGCTTTCTCATCGGCGGGCACCGATCTTCCCACTCTAGGGCTTCTCTGGCGGCCCTGCCCATGGTGCTGGATCCCTCTACTCTGTGCCCATCTCTTTCTGTACTTTGACCTGAGAGCACTCGCTTTCAGAGTAATAACCACAGGCCCAACTATCACGCTTGCTTCTCGTGGCTCACGTTTGCTCTGTGCCCTCAAGTTCAGACTTCATTTTGTACCCCTTAGGCAGGCGGCGCTCTGGAAATCAGATGCAGAATTAGGTTTACCTTGCTCGTCTCACTCCGTAGAAGCGAAAGTGAACAGAAAATTTCACTTGGTTACTCAGAGAATTCCAGCCCCAGCAAGAGTCTCTAGAGAAATGTTGTTAGAGCAAGAAGGAAGACCCTGAGATACATTGATTAAAAATATATATATTTTTCGAGACAGGGTTTCTCAGTAGCTTTTTCAGCCTTTCCTGGAACTCGCTCTGTAGACCAGGCTTGGCCTCAAACTCAGAGATCTGCCTGCCTCTGCCTCCCAAGCGCTGGGATTAAAGACATACGCCACCACCGCCTGGCTAGTTGATTAAAAATTTTAAAAATAAGCTGGGCGGTGGTGGTGCATGCCTTTTATCCCAGCACTTGGGAGGCAGAGGCTGGTGGACCCCTGTGAGTTCAAGGTCATTCTGGGCTACCCAGAGAAACCTTGTCTTGACAAACTAAACTTATTTTAAAACTATCTTTATAATTTTTTTTATTGAGAAAAGGAAAAAAAAAAAAAAGAAAAAAGGTTTCCGCCTCCCCCCCCAGCCTCCCATTTCCCTCCCCCTCCTCCCACCCTTCTCCCCCTCCCTCTCCAGTCCAAAGAGCAGTCAGGGTTCCCTGCCCTGTGGAAAGTACAAGGTCCTCCCCCCTCGGTCCATGTCTAGGAAGGTGAACATCCAAACTGGCTTCTTTATAATTTTTTTAAATTATCAGACTGATAGTTATGCACCACAACCAGTGGCTTTTGAAAACTATAAGATAGCAAAGTACACATTCCGGGTCCCACAGGATGGCTTAGCAGCTAAAAGCAATTACTGAGCAAGCCTGATGACCCGAATTCCATCTTCAGAACTCACCATGGAGGGAAAGAACTGACTTTAGAAAAGCTGCCCTCTGATGGCCCCCTGTGCTCTACGACAGGCACGTGTCGTGCGCGCGCGCGCGCACACACACACACACACACACACACACACACACTATGCAGTATATATAGTCTACATGTATATATAGTGTACATATATACATAAATATGTGCAGACATGTAAAATCCTATGAATTAAGGACAGTGGGCTCTGTTCAGAGATGATGTAAGAAGCCTCAGAACAGACACCAAGCCTCAAACTCCACTCCTGTTAGTTTCCTGAAAAGGGAGAGTTTATAGTCAATTTATTTACAGAAATTAATATCAAGGTGGAGTGTAACATGTCACTTTTTTATTGGCCTCAACGTTTTTCCTCGTCTGAACGAGGTGGCCACTAAGGCTTCTTCCAGCCAGAGACTTGGGTTGAGTGCGGTTCCCCACTCTTGAGTTTCACGTCTCAGAAGCCCTTGCCCAGGGTCTGTATTCAGTTCTTTGGGGTCTGGAATCCTTCTTGCTGGGATGTGTTTAAGAAGATAAAAATGGCAGGAACTCTTCTAATTTTCCCAGAGGCCTTCACATTTAATTTGGTTGGAGCCTCAGGGCATTTTAGAATGATATTTGACGTTATGAATTATGACATGGAGAAGCTGGCTCTGATTCTGGAGGACTGAGGAGCTGGGCCAGGATTATAGTAGAATGAGTTCAGACCCTGCCTTTTTCTCAAAAATTGAGCCCCCTTCTCTCTGTTATGAGATAGGGTTTTGCTGGCCTCAAATTTGGATGTTCCTTACTTAGCCTCCTCCCAAGCACTGAGATTGCAGGTGTGTTCCACCCCATGCAGCAAAAATACAAGTTTTTGAAGGGAATCTCTGTTGATTGTCGTCTCTGGCTCTGCCTCCTCAATTGGTGGGGCACAGGGTTGGGCTGGTTTGAGTGAGTTGTTCAGCACTTTTTTTTTTTTCGAGTCTGAAGTTCTGGATCTTGGTATAGCTCTACTGATGTTTTGAACCAAGAAAGAGCAGTAACAATGACTTTTCTGTCACAGTATGGGTGTGCCCATTGTCCTGGGACTGCCCCTGGTCACACTCAACCCTAAAATGAACTTCTGAACACAGCTTTCTTGTCTTTACCCCAGCTGGCTCATGTTCCTCCTCCATGGTCTCCACCCACACAATCCACTCACTCTGGACCCATTTTAAACAGAGGCCCCTCTGTCCTGAGGGGATGCACCATCCGATGGCCATTTGGGGACTTTTAAACTGCCACTGTTTAACAAAAAATGAAAGTCACAAATGTGGGCTGCACATGTAATTTTCAGTTTTTGAATAGCTATTTTAAAGGAAGTAAAAGGAATTAATGAAATTAATTTAATTTAGATTTTATCTATCATTTATTTATTTTGAGACAGAGTCCCACTATGTAGACCTAGCTGGGCAGGAACATATTATGTAACAGAGTTCTACCTGCTTCTGCCTTCTGAGTACTGGGATAAATTAATTTTTGTTATGTATTTTATTTAACCTAATGCATATAAAACATCATCTAACAAGCAATAATCAGTGAGATATTTTGCATATTCATGTGAATTCTGAACCAGCACGTGTGCCTTTAGATGCTCCTGTATTTGATTGTGAGTGGAAGCCACAGGCCAACCTTGCATTGTGTTCCTCAGCCCTCAGGTTTTATTCAAGTCCCATCCCCCACCCCCACTTTTTTCTTTTTGAAAAAGTGTTTCTCACTGGCTTGGAGGTTGACAAGTAGGCTGGCTGGCTGTTCTATGAGCCCCAGGTATCAGCCTATTTCTGCCTCCCCAGTGCTATGAGTCCAAGTACGCATCACAGCACCAGGCTTTCACAAACACCAGTGCCAGGGATTAATCTCAGGTCCTCATTCTTGTAGGGAAAGCACCTGACTGACTGATCCATCTCCCCAGCCCTCAGATGTAACTTGAACCTTTCACTTCAGATCAGACTCATGGCTTGCACTTGCTCGGCAAGCATTCTACTATCGAGCTGTAGCCCCTGACCCACATTTGACATTTCTTTAGCTGTACAACTTTAAAATGTGTTCTCCCTGTCTAAGGCCAAAGGCTCAGCTTGAACCTGTCCAACTCCTGTATTCTTTTTGTGGTGTCATCTACTAGGGTCTCTTGACTTTTACTGGTATTAATATGATTTTAGATTAAACTCTGATGAATTTTCATGACTTTATTTTTTGTTCTTTTTTTTTTCTGGGAATTGAATCCAAGGCCTTGTAATTGGTAAGAATGGGTTCTTCCACCAACTGTATTTTGTATTTTTAATCAGAGTTTTTTCATGAGTGCAGTAGAACCTAGGGCTTTGTAGATTCTAGGCTAATGCTCTACACTTCTCTCTGTATTTGGTACTATTTTTTTAAAAAATATTACTTATTTTATGTATGTGTTTTATTTGCATGTACACCTTTATTCCAGAAGAGGCCATCAGATTCCACTTACGGATGGTTGTGAGCCACCATGTGGTTGCTGGGACTTGAACTCCAAACCTCTGGAAGAGCTGCCAGTGCTCTTAACTGCTGAGCCATCTCTTCAGCCCCTCTATTTTGAATTTAAAAACTTACTTTACTTAAATTATGTGTATTCATGCATGTCCGTGTGTAGATTTGTGCATGTGAGTGCCAGTGTCCATGGAGGCCAGGGGTGTCAGCTCCAACCAAAGCTGGAGTTACTAGGTGGTTGTAGGCCCCCAAAGTGGGTGCTGCCTAATGTGGGTATTGGGAGTCCAACTTGGGTCTTCTGCAAGAATTGTACATGCTCTGAATGGTTAAGATATGTGTGTGTGTATGTGTGTGTGTGGTGTAGGTAGGCGTCCATGTGTATATGGGTGGGTGTGCATATGTGTGCATGTATAAGCCAGAGATGAATGTTGTGCATTTTCCTTCATTTGTCCACTTGGATTTTTGAGACAGGATCTTTCACTGAGCCTAGAGCTTTCCAGCAAGCCTCAGAGAGTTTGTTGTTCTTGCTTCACAACACTGGGATTATAGGCACATGTTGCTGTGCTTAGCTTCTCTGTGTGGGTGCTTGGTTTCAAAACCAGGTCCTCATGCTTGCATGGCAAGCTCTTTATTGACTGAGCTCTCTCTCTAGCCTCAGGATCTGCTTTGTTTACATTTATTATTCACTCATTTGTTTACTTTATTTTAAATGAGATCTCACTATGAGACTATGTCTCACTAGCTCAGACTAGTCTCAAACTCTTAAGCTCAAACGTTCCTCTTGCTAGGATTTATCTGATAGTACTCTAGTCTTTTGGAGGTTTGTTCTTGAGATAGGGTCTCACTACATAGTCCTAGCTGCCCTGGAACTCTCTATGTAGACTAGGATGGTCTTGAACTAACAGAGAT